CTAAGCCCTAAGCCCCGAACCTGGGGAACATGGACAAACTGCCACGGGCCCTAATAACGACTTCAACCCTCACTGCTACGAGCCCTCACCCCTCGAACTACTAAAACCCTCACCCCTTATCTCAATCCCTTACCCCTCATCTAAAACCCTCACCCCTTATCCTTATGTACAACCCTCACCCCTCATCTACATCCCTCACCCCTCATCTAAATCCCTCACCCCTCATCTAAATCCCTCACCCCTCATCTAAATCCCTCACCCCTGATCTAAATCCCTCACCCCTCATCTACAACCCTCACCCCTTATGTACAACCCTCACCAATCATCTACAACCCTCACCCCTCATCTACAACCCTCACCCCTTATCTACAACCCTCACCAATCATCTACAACCCTCACCAATCATCTACAACCCTCACCCCTTATCTACAACTTTCCTTTTCCTTTCTTTATACTACCTATTCTGGATGAATTACGATAATTTACTCTCTATTAACTATAACCATCCGATACCCCGACTTGTACTATAAACCCTTACCCCTTGACATCCGCCTATTCGATCTTCTTTATAAATTACTATTCCGTATCCCTCTCTTTACTACTATCTCGGACTCCTGAGTCAACTACTATACTTCACCTCTTATCTATCACCCTCACTCCTTATCTTTAATTATCCTTTACCTTTCTATATACTATCGATTCTTGATCTATTACGTTAACTTATCCTCTATAAACTATAACTATCTTTCACCCCCCGCTATACTATAACCCCTTGCCCCGAGCTATATGATAATTCCAAATCCCTGAATGTCCTGATATTCCATCTTCTTTAATGATTCCTATCCCGGATCCCGAAATCTATTACTATCCTTACCCCTCTATCGATTACGAATCGATATCTATCACTGATATTAATCTCTCCTCCTATTGTATGTCCCTCTTTATATCTATATCTATCTATCCGAAACCTAACTACCCTATCAATCCTTCGCGGATATATCATTCCCCGGAACGGATAATATCGATATATTATATATACTACATATCTTGAAATATATATTCGCCGCTGTCTTCTCGTTATATTCTATGTACTCCCTTCGAACTTATATATATATTTAATATACCATTTTTACGCTTGCCTGACTACCCTCGCCCGATAATATTAAACCCTGATATATATGCTGCCTGACCGCGCTTGGTAACCACTTGAACTTTCACTGCTACGGACCCTTACCTCGAAAACCGCTGTTAACCCTGACCCCTGGAACTACTATAACCCTCACCCCTTATCTAAAACCCTGATCCCTCTGTTTCTAACTATCTTGCACTTTTCTTTATATTATCGATTCTTTATAAATTACCATAATTTACCCTCTAAAAACTATGACTATCCTATACCCCGAGTTGTACTATAAACCCTTGCCCCTTATATCCTCGTATTCGATCTTCTTTACGAATTACTATCCCGGATCCCTCTCTTTACTACTATCTCTTACTCCTTAATCTATTACTATCCCTCACCCCTTATCTATAACGCTCACCCCTCATCTATAACCCTCACCCCTCATCTGTAACCCTCAACCCTTATCTGTAACCCTCACCCCTTTATCTATAACCCTGACCCCTCGAACTACTATAACCCTCACCCCTTATCTGTAACCCTCACCCCTCGCTATACTGTAAACCCTTACCCCTCGCTATACTATAATTCTATCTTCTTGACTTCTTACTATCCCGTCTCTCTTTCTTTACTACTATCTCTTACCCCTGAATCTATTACTATCTCTTACCCCTGAATCCATTACTATCCCTAACCCCTCTCCTGATTACAAAACTTTACCCCTCTCTTAATTAAACACCCTTACCCGTCTATCTATTACTAGTCCGTATCGATTACTGATATTCCTCTCCTCTCGTCTTTCAAATCCCCGTTTATATACTTATCGCTAAATGTATATCGATCCTTGACCGAACCACGATGTAAAACCCTTTCCGATATATGTCTACCCTGAAGTTATAATATATATATATATTATATACTCCATATATGAACGAATATATATTCGCCGATATTTTCTCCGAATATTTAATGTACTACCTTCGAAGCTATATATATATGTAATATACTGTTAATATCCTTGCCTGACTACGCGAGCTTATAATAATAAAACCGGATATATACACCGCCTGACCGGGCTTGGCAACGACGGGCCTAAATGCTGTGAAACGCTGACCTGGGCCGGTGATGCCTGTACTGCCTATATGGGGAATGCCTGCCCGAAATGCCTGAGCTGCGCCGGTAATGCCTGCCGAGCCGGTGTTGGTAATGCTCGGTATGGTAATACTCCGCCGCCGATAAATGCCCTCCCTATATGTGATGTCTGATCTATATATATCTTTAATGAATGCCCTTGTTAAATGCGATCATTCTTATATATTTATCAGTGTAATGCCTGCCTTGTATGGTTGATTAATGCCCTTCCTGAATGTGATCGCTATACTATATATATCGGTAACGAATCCATAGCTTATGTGCGTAATGAATGCCCTGCCTGAATGTGGTGGTTATACTATATATATCTGTGCTAAATGCCCCGCCTATGTGGGTAACGCCTGCCCTATACGGCGTGACTGGGCTGGTGATCAATGCCCTGCCTATATTACAAATAAATGGTGTGAATGGTGTGATTGATCGACCTGTGGTGGTAATGATGGGATGATTTGGGCGGGCAATGAATGCCCTCTATGGCTAATGCCTGCTCTCTCTGGCCAATAAATGCTCTCTCTGGCCAATGAATGCTCTCTCTGGCTAATGCCTGCCCTCCATGGCCAATGAATGCTCTACATGGCCAATGCATGCTCTCTCTGGCCAATGCATGCTCTCCATGGCCAATGAATGCTCTCTATGGCCAATGAATGCTCTCTATGGCCAATGAATGCCCTACCTGGCCAATGTATGCTCTCTCTGGCTAATGAATGCTCTCTCTGGTCAATGAATGCTCTCTCTGGCTAACGAATGATTTCTCTAGCCAATGAATGCCCTCCATGGCTATTAAATACTCTGCATGCCCTGTCTGGCTAATAAACGCTCTCCATGGCTAATGCATGCTCTCTCTGGCCAATGCATACTCTCTCTGGCCAATGCATGCTCTCCATGGCCAATGAATGCTCTACATGGCCAATCAATGCTCTACATGGCCAATGCATGCTCTCTCTAGCCAATGCATGCTCTCTCTAGCCAATGCATGCTCTCTCTAGCCAATGCATGCTCTCTATGGCCAATAAATACCCTCCATGGCCGATTAATGTCCTATATAGCCTGTGTTGGTAATTCATGCCCTGCCTAAGCTATTCCCCCTCTATACTATCCTTGTTCTCTATATTGCCGAATTCTTAGTAATGTATCTGATACCTCCCGTACATCTTTATTGAATTCACCTATATATATCTGAACTCGCCCTATACCCTCTCGCCATACTCGATCCACCTCCTTCGAAGCCATATATATTCGTGCACGAGCTGCACCGTATCTCCGTCAAACCGGGATCCCAAAAACCGTACAAGCTCACCCTCATTCTCCATCTGCACTCCCTGTGTTTGTAGCCGCTGAGCCCACGCCTCCTGAATTGTCTCACTGCCCTCGCTGTACACCATCATTGCCACCCCCGATAATAACAGCCCCCGGTACATACACTGCCCCTGCCCGCCACTAATATATCGATCGCAGATCGCCTGTGGCATCCCGCACCCAAAGCACCCGGCGAATACCGCATATTTAATCTGCCGCCGCACACGAATCCACCAACTCTTTGCCGATGTGTAGCCGGACTGTGCCTGTGCCCCGCACTCGTATAAGTCATGCTGCTCATGAAGCCCGCGTTGGGCACAAAACCAGCATCGTCCGACCCATAACTGCGCCTGTTGCTGTAAAAACTCGAGCCCGGCACTGATCTCTTGGCGGGCTTGCTGGTAACTAACCCGGGCTGCCTCTCTCTCTCGGTCCTGGCGTTGAAACCGTTGGGCGGCCTCTGTTGGTATGCACGGAGCTGAACTTGCGGGTAATAACGGGTCTTGCCGGCCTGAATGGCTGAGCTGGGCTGAATGGGCTGCTGTGCCTGAATGGGCTGCTGTGCCTGAATGGGCTGCTGTGCCTGAATGGGCTGCTGTGCCTGAATGGGCTGCTGTGCCTGAATGGGCTGCTGTGCCTGAATGGGCTGCTGTGCCTGAATGGGCTGCTGTGCCTGAATGGGCTGCTGTGCCTGAATGGGCTGCTGTGCCTGAATGGGCTGCTGTGCCTGAATGGGCTGCTGTGCCTGAATGGGCTGCTGTGCCTGAATGGGCTGCTGTGCCTGAATGGGCTGCTGTGCCTGAATGGGCTGCTGTGCCTGAATGGGCTGCTGTGCCTGAATGGGCTGCTGTGCCTGAATGGGCTGCTGTGCCTGAATGGGCTGCTGTGCCTGAATGGGCTGCTGTGCCTGAATGGGCTGCTGTGCCTGAATGGGCTGCTGTGCCTGAATGGGCTGCTGTGCCTGAATGGGCTGCTGTGCCTGAATGGGCTGCTGTGCCTGAATGGGCTGCTGTGCCTGAATGGGCTGCTGTGCCTGAATGGCCTGCTGTGCCTGAATGGCCTGCTGTGCCTGAATGGCCTGCTGTGCCTGAATGGCCTGCTGTGCCTGAATGGCCTGCTGTGCCTGAATGGCCTGCTGTGCCTGAATGGCCTGCTGTGCCTGAATGGCCTGCTGTGCCTGAATGGCCTGCTGTGCCTGAATGGCCTGCTGTGCCTGAATGGCCTGCTGTGCCTGAATGGCCTGGCTGGGCTGCTGGGCGTGAATGGCTGATCTGGGCTGAATGGCTGAGCTGGGCGGGTAATGATGATCCTGAATGCCCTGATGACTGCACCGGCCGTTCTGGCGCGGCTAAGTGGTGCCTGCCTGGTTCATCACTCCGCCGATACATTGGACTGGTGGATCGAACTTGGGATCGAAACGTAGTCGATTCGCTATCACTGCGCTGGCCACTGGCCTCCGACTCGCTCGATAATGGCCTCGGTCCTTGGGCATCGTGGCTGGCCTCAATTGAACCGTACTGGATATCTTCCATGGGCTCCGACCTATATGTTGGGGCTGGGCCCTGGGCTGGGCTGTTTCTCTCACTGGCCATCTCACTGGCCATCTCACTGCCCCTATCACTGCCCCTACCACTGCCCCCACCACTGCCCCCCTCAACAGCCAGCTCTTCTTCGTTAGCTAGCCACTCCGGATCACAGCCATCACAACGTTGTTCCATAGCTTCAGAATCCCCGCAATACTGCCTTTGATGCCCATCGAGATACTCATCGAGAATAACCCGTCGACACCCTCCGTTATATATATAACGATCTAGCCGGCTCTGCTCGGCCTGAGCCTTGATGGGGTCCTCATGGATTTGGTCCCATATTGGCCGCTGGAACCCCTCGGGCTGAATGATAATGGCCTCACTGCGGTCCCCATCCCGGCCCGCTCGCCCACTCTCTTGCGCGTAGTCTAACAGACTGCGCGGCACCCCGATGTGAATGATACACCGGATGTTGGGGATATCAACCCCCATACCAAGCGCACTGGTTGCGGCCACCACCCCGGTGGGATGAGCCTGAAATCGGGCTAGCACGCCCGGACGATCGAGTACTCGGCTATGGTATGCTTCACTGCCTACGATCTGGGCAATGTGCTCGACGATCTTAGTAGTGGGCCCATAAATGACCACTCGGCCAGCCGCGCAGCGGGCACGCCAAACACGGTCCTGAATGAATCTCACGATCTCGGGACGCTCGATCCAATCGTAGCCGTTTCGGTACCGACTCGGCACGTTGGGTTGCCAGAGCCGGTACGCAACATTAGTCCGATGGGTCCGCGCTCGAAACATATGGGCCTTCTCGCGGGTAGTCCGTAAACGCCGGAATAGCTGGTCCTCGGCTGCCGGGGGTAACGTAGCCGTAAGATATATCATCTGGGCCTGGGCCACGATCAACCTGCCCAGTTGGGCCATGGCAGGCCGGAATTGGCTTTGGTCATTTAGCACAACGTGGCATTCATCAATCACAATTCGATCTAGCCGATGACCGAGCCGCTGCCTGTTCAAAAACGTCATAAAGTCCTCCGTAATAGCTGATTCGGGCGTAACCAGTACGATAGATGCCTGATCGGCCGGCCGCCGGCTCTCCCATTCCACACATGCGATGCCGAGCTGCCGGCAACGGTGGACGAGATCACCCCGTAGTGCAATTAACGGCACTACGACCACCGTTACCCCTCGGGGGCTGATCCACGCGGGTAGCATGAATAGCAGGCTCTTGCCGCCCCCGGTGGGCATCACAGCCACCACTGGGCTCTGGCCCTGTTGAATGGCGGCTAATGCCGGTGCCTGCACCCCTCGAAGCCGTAGCCCGGTGTTACCTATCATCCGTTGCATCTCAGGCTCGATGGCGGCCTGGGCTAGCTGCCACCGGCGCTCCGTACGGCTCATCTCAGCTTCCTTTTGCCATGGCGAAGGCTGCGCGAGCCCTAATGCGCTCTCGGCCCCTCCGTCATCAGCGGACACAAATCCTAGAAAGCGGTGCCAATCGGTGCTGCTGAGCCGAAACATCTCTCGCCGGTGGGCCGTTGTACCGGGCTGCTCGGTGATCCCGCGGCCATAGATCATCCCGGCCACATGGGATGAATGGGCAGCTTGGAGATCGGCAATATGGCCCATCCATTGCTCGGCATTGATCCCATCTTCGTCATCTTCTTGGGATGTCTCGGCCCGGCTGTCCTGTTGGGCATTATTGGGGAATATGCTCGATGGCCGCATGAATCGTCGGCTGATCCCAATGGCGATGTCTCGGTATGCATGGAGATTGATGGCGTGCCCGTTCAAACCAATGGTGCTTTCTCGCTTTAGCGCTTCTCTCAGTCTCTCCGAGGACCACTGCCGGCCGGTGCCAGGGTCAGGGGACCATAGATATGCCTGTCGACGGGGGCTGGTAGTTAACGTGTTAGTGTATATATATGTGTGTGTTGGGTGGGTGCGTGTGAGAGAGAGCGGGGGCATATATATATATATGTTTGATCTCTGTGTTGAACTGTGTGTTGATCTCTGTGTTGATCTCTGTGTTGATCTCTGTGTTGATCTGTGTGTTGATCTGTGTGTTGGGTGTGTGTGTGAGGGGGTGTATATATATCCAACGTACCCAGTCGTCTCAGCATCAGATGCCTCCCCGCGCACCTTCTGTGTGTACGCCTCCAATCTCTCCACAAACGGCAGCACTAGCCATAGATACCAAACCACTAGCTCACCTACTTCCCGGGGTAGATACCGATGAATAACCTTCACGTCGTTCGTACTATAAAACCCTTTGTGGTACTGCGTAACAAACGCTACCAGACCATCTTCGACAAACACATTCCTGTGGCCTCCACTATCGGTATTGTAGTGCCGAATGCTTAACAGCTCTGGTGCCCGTGCAGGCTGGCCTCCGCTGACGTGAATAGCAATAGCTAGTTTCTCGCGGAAATGGACTACCCGTTGGAGATAACTGTGCACATTCGACATTCGGAGCCGGCCGGCACTAGACTCGATGAAACGATGCTGGAGTGGTCTCTCGTTTCGGACCCGATTCACCATCCATTCGCTACCGGCCACAGGCCATACCGTGCGAGTATCTTTTAGAAAGCTCCACCCGTGCGCGGTCTCGGTAGGATCATCAAACATAGCCTGCCACGGGATCGTGGGAACTGAGCTAGCCTGACTAAACAGGAGCTCTTCGTGTAGTATCTGGCGTGTGGAGCTTACGAGGCCGTGGGTAAAGCCGCGGAAGTCACCCATAGTGAAACTGTAGTGTTGATATAACAGCTGGTCTTGGTTCATCCAGCCAACATGGCCTGTGGCGGTGCTGTTATAATGGATCTTTAAGCCGTAGGTGCGTAGATCTAACAGCCACTGCATTGGGCTATTGGTGCCCCGTACCATAAACTGGCTGACCATCTCGGTCACCCACTCCCGGAATGATCGTTGGCTATGGTGCCGAGGGGGGTTGTAACCCTGGGTGTGGGCGTAGCTCTCACTCTGGCTGTTGCTCTCACTCTGGCCCTGGCTGTGGCCCTGGCTAAACTGAACAAAGTGCGATGACTGTGGTGCCCCCTGATCTAGGCCACCGTCATCGTTGTAAAACCAATCGTCCGTTGTTTGCGTTAAAAACGTGAAATCAGGCGAATCTAACGGACTCTCTGTATCCCATTCGCCAGCCATCTGATGCGTAGCTAGTTGGTGGATCATCTTCTCGGCCGTTGGGTCTAGCTTTAATGCTTTGTGGACCACCATAAACCGGGCAATCTTAATCACTTTTGACAAGATTGGGGGATAGCTCTGGGCAGTGCCCCAGCCTGCCTCCCCACGTCCAAGCACCGCGCTAGCGCAGATGAGCGCGCTCTCATAGTCCTCGACCTTAGTTCGGTGGTTTAACAGCTCAATGCAAAAATCCAGACAGGCGGAGTCAAGGGGCGTGAGCTGAAAGGGAGATTCGCTAGTGATTTGGACCTGTTGGTCCTCGGAATCACTTCCTGAATGCACACTGCTTTGGTCCGAACTGCTCAGGTCTTCAATGCCCTGGCCGGCGTTGGAATGGCCTGTGTTAGCCTGCCCTGTGTTGGAATGGCCTGTGTTGGCCTGCCCTGTGTTGGATTGGCCTGCCCTGTCCTGGCCGGCGTTGGAATGGCCTGCCCTGCCCTGGCTGGCGTTGGAATGGCCTGCTCTGCCCTGGCCTACAATGGGTGAGGCACCAAGCTCTGCCTGGGCTAGTCTCCATAATGTGGCCCATGCCGCTCGCTGGCGTTTGGAAAACCTGTAGTGGGGGCTAGCCTAATCATGTGGGGCCTGCGTGCGCGTGAAAAACATGAGAATCTGCTGCCATGGGACCGTGTGTCGCTTAACATTATCACCATCCATATATGCTTGTAGTGGTTGATGGGGCAGGCGATCCCGCTCAGTCCGAACAGCCTCGCACCGAATAGTGTGGCTCGTTTTGGTGCAGATCAACTGGCTGATGCGAGCCACAGCGGCCATTGAATTCCAAATTGCATAGGTAGCTTGCTCGGTCTGATCAACAGATTCGGGATCGGGGGCTCGGACACAGTCCACTAGGTCGTGCGGGTTGATCCCCTGGAGATAGACGGCCCACTGGGTCCTCCGAAGCCATGGATTCGTCTCGTCTCGCTGGCTGGCCACGATCACCTGGGGGAGCTCTTCTCTTTCGGCATATGCTCTTTCCATCTGATCAATCACCTGACTATTATGATCAGACATTGCTAACAGATCAGCCCCGGGAATGGCCTCGGCTCCGAGGGTTTGAACGCGGATGTAATGGGACCCTAGCCCGTGATTAAACGCACGTTGGCATCGGACGATTCGAGTGAATTGCTGGATTTGTTGCTCCGCAGCTGATGAAGTATGCTGCCGCCGACGACCGCCCCGGTTTGTAGGGGCTACCCAGCTATGATGATCACGCCAGTGAACACGCATAGTGCTAATTGACCGGGCAACGAACTGGCACATCGGGCCTTGCTCGCATAAAATGCCATCTGAATAAACAGGCAAATTGGGAAGAGGCTGATTCACCACTAATAGTGGCTGCCATTCATCACATTCTGCCGTACGCTCCCATTGTTGAACTGCCTCGGCAATTTGGCGCGCTTTCGGCTTCGGCATCCGATGATTAGCAGATTGGAGGTGGCGAGAAACCTCTTTTGGTCGAACACCATATTCACATAGCTTACATACAATCACGGGCGTGGTTGATGGCTGGTGAAAAAGCTGATGTTCCATTGTGGTAGTGGGGGTAAGTAATGAAAGAAAACAGTGAAGGATAACTAAGATGAAAGAGATAGGAAAAGCAGAGTAGAAAGGGCGGGCAGGTTAGTGTGAGAAGAATTTCAAAATAGGCCGGGGGATCGTTTCAGCCCCCGTTACCCCACCTGCACACACTATATATAGAATACGATGATCGACATAGTGCGTTTCGGCCCGGGCCTTAGATTGACAGGTCAACCACTGATTCCCCACATATGCAGTGCTGCCACTAGCCACATAGGCTGGCCCTCAGCTCACCTAGGCAGGGCAGTCATCCCGTTTCAGTCCTTTCCCAGCCCATATAGGCTCAGCAGCCCATTAGCCAGCCAGTAAGGGCCCTCAGCCCATTCAGGCATGGCAGTCATCCCATTTCAGTCCATTCCCAGCCCATACAGGCTCAGCAGCTCATTGGCCAGCCAGGAAGGGCCCTCTGCCCGTTAAGGCATGGTAGTCATCCCATTTCAGTCCATTCCCAGCCCATACAGGCTCAGCAGCTCATTGGCCAGCCAGGCAGGGCATTCACTGCCCACACAGGCTCAGCAGCCCATTGGCCAGCCAAGGAGGGCATTCATTGCCCACATAGGCTCAACACGCTATTGGCCACACAGGAAGGGCACTCAGCTCAGCCCAGGTCATTCATTGGCCATCTAGGTCGCCCAGTCATCCCATCTCAAGGCAGTCGTTGCCCACATGGGCTCAACACGCCATTGGCCAGGCAGGCAGGGCATTCAGCCTTTCCTAGGGCATTAATTGCTCATATAGCACGGCATTCATCATATATATATATATAACAATTAGCCTAATCTGGTTTGAATGGCTGAATAACATGAATATGGTGAGCAACACGAATAGCTGAGCAACATGAATGGCATATATGTTAGGAATGGCTGAATAACATGAATGGCGGAGTAACACGAATGACTGAATAACATGAATGTGGTGAGCAACACGAATAGCTGAGCAACATGAATGTGGTAAGCAACATGAATGTGGTAAGCAACATGAATGGGTGAATAACATGAATATGGTAAGCAACATGAATAGCTGAATAACATGAATGTAGTGAGCAACACGAATAGCTGAGTAATATGAATGGCTGATCAACATGAATGGGTGAATAATATGAATATGGTAAGCAACACGAACAGCTGAGCAATATGAATGGCCTAATAACGTGAATATGGTGAATAACATAAATATGGTGCATATATAAATCTAGTGAATATATAAATCTAGTGAATAATATAAATATGGTGAGCAGCATAAATGCCATGCATAGTGCGAGTAACATGAATGTGGTGAAAAAAACCAATGGCTGGATCCCATGAATGGCATATATAGTGTGAATAACATGGATGGTTTGAAAGATATGATATGGGAATGGGAGTATTGTATGGCTGTAGTGCCAAGCCTTTCTTGTCCCCCATCAAAACATCTCCCATTTTTGATCACCCTCCACCCCACATATATATGCTCCTATATTCTAAAAATTAACAGAGATAAATAAATCACTCTATATTATAACCTCTGCAAATTTCAGATCCATCAGAGGTCTGTAGCCCTCGGCAGTGGGGGTGCGAAGTTTACCTGAAGTCAGGATGCGACCCGCTTATCTTATCGTGGTGACCAAGTGGCTGCCTCAGGCCCCGGTCGCACCTCCAGATTCCCGCACCCCATCAAAACATCTCGAAAAACCCGACATTTTCAATCACCATTTTCTCGACAACCAGAGGGCTGTGCATGCTCCGGAGCAAATAGGGGCAAATTCATATACGCCATTTTAACTTCCTAAATTTTCAGATCGATCAGAGGCCTCTAGACCAAAGGAGTCAGGGTGAGAAGTTAACCTGAAGTCAGGGTATGGACCCACTTTTCCTCCCATAGTAAAAGAAAAACCCTAACCTGGAGTCACCGTGACTCCAGGTACCCCCGTGGGATAGGCTCTGGCCCTGTTGAATGGCAGCTAATGCCGGTGCCTGCACCCCTCGAAGCCGTAGCCCGGTGTTGCCCATCATCCGTTGCATTTCGGGCTCGATGGCGGCCTGAGCTAGCTGCCACCGGCGCTCCGTACGGCTCATCTCAGCTTCCTTTTGCCATGGCGAAGGCTGCGCGAGCCCTAATGCGCTCTCGGCCCCTCCGTCATCAGCGGACACAAAGCCTAGAAAGCGGTGCCAATCGGTGCTGCTGAGCCGAAACATCTCTCGCCGGTGGGCCGTTGTACCGGGCTGCTCGGTGATCCCGCGGCCATAGATCATCCCGGCCACATGGGATGAATGGGCTGCTTGGAGATCGGCAATATGGCCCATCCATTGCTCGGCATTGATCCCATCTTCGTCATCTTCTTGGGATGCCTCGGCCCGGCTGTCCTGTTGGGCATTATTGGGGAATATGCTCGATGGCCGCATGAATCGTCGGCTGATCCCAATAGCGATGTCTCGGTATGCATGGAGATTGATGGCGTGCCCGTTCAAACCAATGGTGGTTTCTCGCTTTAGAACTTCTCTGAGTCTCTCTGAAGACCACTGTCGGCCGGTGCCAGGGTCAGGGGACCATAGATATGCCTGTCGACGGGGGCTGGTAGTGAATGTGTTAGTGTATATATATGTGTGTGTTGGGTGTGTGTGTGTGAGAGAGCGGGGGCATATATATATATGTGTGTGTTTGATCTCTGTGTTGAACTGTGTGTTGATCTCTGTGTTGATCTGTGTGTTGGGTGTGTTAGGTGTGTGTGAGGGGGGTATATATATATCCAACGTACCCGGTCGTCTCAGCATCAGATGCCTCCCCGCGCACCTTCTGTGTGTACGCCTCCAATCTCTCCACAAACGGCAGCACTAGCCATAGATACCAAACCACTAGCTCACCGACTTCCCGGGGTAGATACCGATGAATAACCTTCACGTCGTTCGTACTATAAAACCCTTTGTGGTACTGCGTAACAAACGCTACCAGACCATCTTCGACAAACACATTCCGGTGGCCTCCACTATCAGTATTGTAGTGCCGAATGCTTAACAGCTCTGGTGCCCGTGCAGGCTGGCCTCCGCTGACGTGAATAGCAATAGCTAGTTTCTCGCGGAAATGGACTACCCGTTAGAGATAACTGTGCACATTCGACATTCGGAGCCGGCCGGCACTAGACTCGATGAAACGATGCTGGAGTGGTCTCTCGTTTCGGACCCGATTCACCATCCATTCGCTACCGGCCACAGGCCATACCGTACGGGTGTCTTTCAGAAAGCTCCACCCGTGCGCGGTCTCGGTGGGATCATCATAGATAGCCTGCCACGGGATCGTGGGAACTGAGCTAGCCTGACTAAACAGGAGCTCTTCGTGTAGTATCTGGCGTGTGGAGCTTACGAGGCCGTGGGTAAAGCCGCGGAAGTCACCCATAGTGAAACTGTAGTGTTGATATAACAGCTGGTCTTGGTTCATCCAGCCAACATGGCCTGTGGCGGTGCTGTTATAATGGATCTTTAAGCCGTAGGTGCGTAGATCTAACAGCCACTGCATTGGACTGTTGGTGCCGCGGACCATAAACTGGCTGACCATCTCGGTCACCCACTCCCGGAATGACCGTTGGCTATAGCCCTGTGTGTGGCCCTGTGTGTGGACCTGGCTATGGCCCTGGCTAAACTGAATAAAGTGCGATGACGGAGGTGTGCCCTGATCTAGGCCACCGTTATCGTTGTAAAACGAATCGTCCGTTGATTGCGTTAAAAACGTGAAATCAGGTGAATCTAACGGACTCTCTGTATCCCATTCGCCAGCCATCTGATGCGTAGCTAGTTGGTGGATCATCTTCTCGGCCGTTGGGTCTAGCTTTAATGCTTTGTGGACCACCATAAACCGAGCAATCTTAATCACTTTTGACAAGATTGGAGGATAGCTCTGGGCAGTGCCCCAGCCTGCCTCTCCACGTCCAAGCACCGCGCTAGCGCAGATGAGCGCGCTCTCATAGTCCTCGACCTTAGTTCGGTGGTTTAACAGCTCAATGCAAAAGTCGAGACAGGCGGAGTCAAGGGGAGTGAGCTGAAAGGGGGATTCGCCAGTGATTTGGTCCTGTTGGTCCTCGGAATCACTTTCTGAATGTATACTGCTTTGGTCCGAACTGCTCAGATCTTCACTGCCCTGGCCTGTGTTGGAATGGCCTGTGTTGGAATGGCCTGTGTTGGAATGGCCTGTGTTGGAATGGCCTGTGTTGGAATGGCCTGTGTTGGAATGGCCTGTGTTGGAATGGCCTGTGTTGGAATGGCCTGTGTTGGAATGGCCTGTGTTGGAATGGCCTGTGTTGGAATGGCCTGTGTTGGAATGGCCTGTGTTGGAATGGCCTGCCCTGCCATGGCCTGTGTTGGAATGGCCTGTCCTGCCCTGCCCTGTGTTGGAATGGCCTGCTCTGTCCTGGCCTACGATGGGTGAGGCACTAAGCTCTGCCTGGGCTAGTCTCCATAATGTGGCCCAAGCCGCTCGCTGGCGTTTGGAAAACCTGTAGTGGGGGCTAGCCCAATCATGTGGGGCCTGCGTGCGCGTGAAAAACATGAGAATCTGCTGCCACGGGATCGTGTGTCGCTTAACGTTATCAGCATCCATATATGCTTGTAGTGGTTGATGGGGTAGGCGATCCCGTTCAGTCCGAACAGCCTCGCACCGAATGGTGTGGCTCGTTTTAGTGCAGATCAACTGGCTGATGCGAGCTACAGCGGCCATTGAATTCCAAATTGCATAGGCAACTTGCTCGGTCTGATCGAGTGATTCGGGATCGGGGGCTCGGACACAGTCCACTAGGTCGTGCGGGTTGATCCCCTGGAGATAGACGGCCCATTGGGTCCTCCGAAGCCATGGATTCGTCTCGTCTCGCTGGCTAGCCACGATCACCTGGGGGAGCTCTTGTCTTTCGGTATATGCTCTTTCCATCTGATCAATCACCTGACTATTATGATCAGATATTGCTAGCGAATCGGCCTCGGGAATAGCCTCGGCTCCGAGCGTTTGAACGCGGATATAATGGGACCTAGACTGCGGCATATCCTCTCCATTGGATATTAGGCTCAATACCATATCCGCAAATTGAGGATAATGGATATTACTTTCATACCATATCCTCAATGAGGATATCCATGGATATCCGCGAGGATATGAGGATATTCTGCGGATATCCGCACTAGCATAACTCTCGCTTGATTATCTACTTAGGGGTCGTCATGTGCCTCTTATACAGCTTATTAATTTATTTTTCAGAACAAAAGATACACAGGTTTGGTCCTGACCATACTACTACCCTTATTTATCCTATTTCCCAATGAAATATTAAGTAATACCTATGTATTAACCAATATTTATTAGCTTCATTATTACTTATAGCATCAATCTTTATTTTCAAAGTGTATTAGGGGGAAACCATGATTTTTTGTTATTTCACTTTACTTTACCATGGAAATATATATTTACTCATGGAAGAAGTATAGCATCTCTCAGCTGAACTAAGTATATTTGACCAAACTCGCCATTTCCCGGTCAAATTTAGTTAATTTAGCTTTAAATTAATGATCTAAGCCTAACTTTCAAGTATATAATGATTCTAAATAGATTCTCTCGAAGATTACCGGTCGGAAGCTCCAATGTTGTTGACAGCGGACTTGGTGAATATGGCGGCAAGGTTGAGGATATCCAAGGATATCCATGCGGATATCCACAATATATCCTCAATTATCCTCAAATATCCACACCAGTGATTAGTAATAGCCAATCATCGCCATCAAAAGTAAGAGATGTCAAGTACGCACCCGCAACTTACGAGTTACAGCATATTTGCCATAATTCTGATATTTTCAGCTCGTTCTATATGTAAGTTTCTCTCTCTCTCTGACATAGTGATCAAGTACACCATGTCTTACTCACAAGCATCTCAATCCCACTACTCCTTCTGCGCTGATTCAGATCTAGGTCTAAATACCGACCTTCTTTATTCAGATGATATCTCTGAGCTTATTAGCAGCCAAACTCCATTGACATCTACGTCTCAAATTTCATCTCCGATTGCACCCCTCTCGCTTACGCGTGTTGGCCTCCCTCTTCAGCAGTATTGGGTCCTCTATTCCTCTGAGCCTAGTAGCGAGATGGAAGAATCTCGTAAGCGCTTTATAAGTTGGTGGTTAACTACAGAGTCTGGATCAACACCTGATATACAAGACTCTATCCGTTGGGATGGGAAAAAGACTTCAAGTGTCTGGGACAATTTCAATCAGGTTGCACATGAGAAGACTGGCAAGCCAAAGGTTATGTGCATATCATGCCTCTGTACCCTTGTTCATCCAAGATATCGCCGTGCTGGGTCATCACCGATGAATGCACATATTAAGGCAGGCACCTGTACTCGGAAGCCAGTTACTCAGAGGGTTGATCAGCTACTAAGAAAGATGGTATATTACTCTATTATTAAGATTTTTAATATCTCTTTTGCTAATCTTGATAATTATCCTAAAGCCATCGATCCCAAAACACCAACCTTTCTCCCAGGAGCGTCTCGTTAAAGCGATCCTAGACTTTATCTCAGCGGCTCACCTACCCTTCCGAATCGTGGAGCATACCCAATTCAAGGACCTAGTAGAGGTCATTCAACAAGCTCAAAGCAAGATCGATATACCATCCGCGCGAAGCATACGACGTTATCTTGATTCTGCAGTCAAAAATGACCAGAAGGAGATTCTTGGAAGACTTCCAGATGGGAGTCGCCTTTCACTAGCGCTTGATTGCTGGACATCGCCATTTCAGCAAGCTTTCATGGCTATCACAGGCTACTTTCTTGATCAGGATTGGAATTATTGTGAAGTTCTTCTTGGATTTGAGCATCTTTATGGGTCTCATACTGGTGAAAATCTAAGTAAGACCGTTACTCAGCTCTTGAACAATCATGGAATCACCAATCGTGTCTTATCTGTGACAACAGATAACGCAACTAACAACAATACCTTGGTGATGAACATCCAAGAGACTATTCAGTCGCAGAGCCAACCAGATACCTTAATCTTCCGAGTTCCGTGTATTGCGCATGTGATCCAATTAAGCTTAAATGAGCTTCTTGGGAAGCTGAAAGTGACGCCACCTAATAAAGAGATTGAACTAGAGTGGCCTGACGAGCGAACACATTCATTCCAGACTAAACAATCTGGCTCAAGTCGGCAAATTGCAGATACCTTAAAGAAGGTCAGTCCTCTATCTCCCTTAGGCTTCTGAGTTTATTCTAATAAGAAAGTCTAAGATCCGAGGTCTTGCGGTCTTTATTAATGCGAGCCCACAACGCCGGGAGTCATTTATGGCTCTTCAAACTAATGAGCCTCGTTTGGTTCCTATTCAGGATGTCCAAACCCGATGGAACTCAACCTTCATAATGCTCAATCGTGCTAAAAGGTTACAACCATTCTATGACCAGTATTGTATAGATCATCAGTATCTACACTTTAAACTTGATCAAGAAGAGTGGCGACAGATTGAATATCTTCTTCTTCTCACAAAGCCTTTCTTTGACTTCACCACTATGTTATCAAAGACTAGGGATGTTACCACACACAACATCTATAGTATTTATAACAAGCTTTTCTCTCATCTAGATGAAGCTGAGTGTAAGTTGAAGAATAAAGGTGTTGTCTGGAAGAAGCATATGCTCCAGGCTCTTCAGACTGCTAAGCGGAAGCTCTCAAAGTACTACACTGCGACTGATTATGAATCATATGGCGATATCTATGCACTCGCGACAATCCTTTGCCCATCAAAGAAACTTCGATATTTCGCATCGTCAGACTGGCAAGGTGATATTGACTATATTAATCACTATCATGGAGTTCTCAAGCGAGAGTTTCAACGATATAAAGAGATACTTCACCGTGATTCAGATAATACAGTCTTACAAGATACCACGAGAGAGGCCCCGGATGATGAATATGGTGATCTAGATGCTGCTTGTGCATCTCAAAACCAGCCCCAGGATGAGCTCTCAAAGCCTGAAGATGATGAGATCGCGAGGTATCTTGCCCGCGGGATTGAGATTCAGAAGCCAAGAGCATTCTGGAAAGACCATGAGCTTGAGTTTCCTATCCTTGCGAGGATAGCACGGGATATTCTCTCGATCCCAGCTAGTGGTGCAGGCGTTGAGCGATTATTCAATTGCGCTCGCGATATCTGCCACTATCGTCGCGGTCAATTGAAACCAAGTACCATCCGAGGATTAATGCTCCATCAATTCGCCACTAATTTTGACGTTGAGCAGAAGGAGATAGAGGTTATTAAGGAGTATCTCTCTATTGGGGAAGCTGCGTTATTAGACCAAGCTCGGAAACCAATGCTCCATCTTGAAACTCTTGAGCCAATTAGTGACAACGAAGAGGAGGATCAAGAGCCTAGCATACAGGACACACAACAGAAGAGGAGCTGCAATGATGATTCAGATGATGAGAGGAATAATGATCAAAGTAAGCAAGTGCAGCGTAAGCGATCAAAGAAACGATTATCTGAATCTCTTGATGAAGATGACGATGACCTTCCAGAAATGCCAATAGATGAGAGCATGCTGGGACGGTCAGGACGAATTCGAAAGCAGCCTAGGTTACCTGATGGATTTCAGATTGATTTAAGGTAGTTGATATTATATGGAGATAACGGAATTTTATTTACTAAATTGAAATCTTGAAAGTTAATGATTACACTATGATTACATTAAAAATACGTAGGAAACTGCATAAATTATACATACTTAAAAGAGTCGTGAGGCTAGGCATGTTTGGCCTGTTTGATATCCACTGGATATCCTCAAATATCCAGAGGATATTAGGTGGTATACCATATCCACAAAATTGAGGATTGCGGATATTGGGTGATATACTATATCCGCAATCTGCGGAGAGGATATGTGGATATCCATGGATATTGAGGATGTTGCCGCAGTCTAATGGGACCCGAGCCGTTGAGGAAACGCACGTTGGCATCGCACGATACGAGTGAATTGCTGGATTTGTTGCTCCGCAGCCGATGAAGTATGCTGCCGCCGACGACCGCCCCGGTTGATAGGAGCTACCCAGCTATGATGATCACGCCAGTGTTGTCGTATAGTTGTGGTTGACCGGGCAATAAATTGGCAAAATAGGCCTTGCTCACATAAAATGCCATCCGAGTAAACAGGCAAATTAGGAATTGGTTCATTCACTACTAGTGGTGGCTGCCATTCATCACATTCCGCCGCACGCTCCCATTGTTGAACTGCATCGGCAATTTGGCGCGCTTTTGGCTTCGGGATCCGATGATTCGCGGATTGGAGGTGCCGAAAAACCTCTTTTGGTCGAATAACATGTTCACATAGCTTGCATACAATCACGGGCGTGGTTGATGGCTGGTGAAAAAGCTGATGTTCCATAGTGGTAGTGGGGGTAAGTAATGAAAGAAAACAGTGGAGGATAACTAAGATGAAAGTGAGAGGAAAAGTAGAGTAGAAAGGGCAGGTAGGTTAGTGTAAGCAGAATTTTAATATAGGCCGAGGGATCGTTTCAGCCCCCGTTACCCCACCTGCAAAAACTATATATAGAATACGATGATCGACATAGTGCATTTCGGCCCGGGCCTTAGATTGACAGGTCAACCACTGATTCCCCACTTATGTAGGGCTGCCATTAGCCACATAGGCTGGCCCTCAGCTCACCTAGGCAGGGCAATCATCCCATTTCAGTCTTGCTTTGCCTATATAACCTATACAGATCGTTAGGGATGTGTGTGTTGAATCTCTGTGTGGGGGGATGTGTGTGAGGGAGAAGATGAGGGGTGGAGGATCTGTGTGTTGAATTTCTGTACGAGGCGGAGGCACATAGGCAGGGTCCTCGGCCCATTTAGGCATGGCAGTCATCCTATTTCAGTCCATTTCCAGCCATACAGAGCATTGACTGCCCACACAGGCTCAACACACCATTGGTCAGCCAGGCAGGGCATTCACTGCCTACACAAGCTTAACACGCCATTGGCCAGCCAGGCACGGCATTCATTGCCCACACAGGCTCAACACGCCATTGGCCGGCCGGGCAGGGCATTCAGCTCAGCCCAGGGCATTAATTAGCTACCAGGCATAGCAGTGATCCCATTTCAGTCTATTCTCGGCCCAGGCAGGCTCAGCAGCCCACTAGCCAGCTAGGAAGGGCCCTCAGCCTAATATGGGTTGAATGGCTGAATAAAATGAATATGGTGAGCAATATGAATATGGTGAGCAATATGAATGTGGTGAGCAATGTAAATGTGGTGAGCAACATGAATGGCTAAGCAACATGAATGGCTAAGCAACATAAATGGCATATATGGTGGGAATAGCTGAATAACATGAATGTGGTAAGCAACACGAATAGCTAAGCAACATGAATAGGTGAGTACCGTGAATGTGGTGAATAACATGAATGTGGTAAGCAATATGAATGGCTGAATAACTTGAATGTGGTAAGCAACACGAATAGCTGAGCAACACGAATAGCTGAGCAACATGAATGGGTGAGTACCGTGAATGTGGTGAATAACATGAATGTGGTGAATAACATGAATGTGGTGAATAACATGAATGTGGTGAATAACATGAATATGGTGAATAACATGAATATGGTGAATAACATGAATATGGTGAATAACATGAATAGGTGAATAACTTGAATGTGGTAAGCAACACGAATAGCTGAGCAACATGAATGGGTGAGTACCGTGAATATGGTGAATAACATGAATAGGTGAATAACTTGAATGTGGTAAGCAACACGAATAGCTGAGCAACATGAATGGGTGAGTACCGTGAATGTGATGAATAACATGAATGTGGTGAATAACATGAATATGGTGAATAACATGAATAGGTGAATAACATGAATATGGTGAATAACATGAATAGGTGAATAACATGAATAGATGAATAACGTGAATGTGGTAAGCAACATGAATAGCATATATGGTGTGAATGGCATATTTTTAGGAATAGCTAAATAACCTGAATGCTATATATAGTGTGAGCAACGTGAATGTGGTGAAAAAAATCAATGGCTGAATCCTATGAATGGCATATAATGGGAATGGGGAGTGTTGTATGGCTGTAGTGCCAAGCCTTTCTTGCTCCCCATCAAAACATCTCCCATTTTTGATCACCCTCCACCCCACATATATATATTCATATAGCGTAAAAAGTGGCTAAGATATATAAAGCGATCTATATTATAACCTCTATAAATTTCAGATCGATCAGAGGTCTGTAGGCCTCGGCAGTAGGGGTGCGAAGTTTACATGAAGTCAAGATGCGACCCGCTTATCTTATCGTGGTGACCAAGTGGCTGCCTCAGGCCCCGGTCGCACCTCCAGATTCCCGCACCCCATCAAAACATCTCCAAAAACCCGGCATTTTCAATCACCATTTTCTCAACAACTAGAGGGCTGTGCATACTCCGATGTCAATAGGGGCAAATTCATATATGCCATTTTAACTTCCTAAATTTTCAGAGCGATCCGAGGCCTCTAGACCTTCGCAGTCTAACGACGAAAAGAACCTGCAGTCTAACGACGGACCCACTTTTCCTCCCACAGTAAAGGGAAAACCCTAACCTGCAGTCTTTAAGACTGCAGGTACCCCCGTGGGATAGGGCCCGACCTGTCGTAAGAGCACTAAAAGGCCAAGTATTAAGCAGATGATAGAGGACGCTGTAAGTTAGAGCTCCCTCTCTATTATTTATAAGATACTTATACTACTAGGCAAAACATGCTCCGAAAGCTATGGTCTTTACCCAAGATGAATGGGAGCACAAAATTCTAAGACTCCTCGCCATGTCACGACTTCCTTTTCAATTTATTAAACATCCAGAGTTCCATGACCTTATTTCCTTCGCGCGCCTTACACCATAGCGGCCTAATATTCCTACTGCAAAAACAATTCGCGCCCGGCTACGAGGATTTGTAGCGGAATAGCAACAGAGTATCCTACGACAACTACCAGGAGACTCAAAGCTCTCACTAGCATTAGATTGTTGGACGTCTCCCTTCCAGCAAGCGTTTATGGCAGTAACCGGCTACTTCCTCGATAATGACTGGGAGTATCGGGAGGTTTTACTTGGCTTTGAGCCTCTTTCCGGTACCCATTCGGGTCTAAATCTTAGTGAGGTACTAATGAGGCTCCTTCAACAACACGATATTACAGACCGAGTGCTCGCAATTACCACCGATAATGCGTCAAATAACAATACCTTGATCAACTATATAAACGAGGCTATCCAGTCACTTGAGCTAAGTGACAGCTCTACTATTATACGCGTTCCATATATAGCACATGTTATCCAGCTTAGCCTAAAGGATCTCCTTGGTCAATTGAAAGCAAATCCAAAAAACGAGGTGGCTGAGACAGAGTGGTCTGAATCTCGTAACCAGTCTCTTCGTGCGACGTAGCAAAAAAGAGAGATTATTAACACGTTGAATAAGGTAAACACCTTCATTTTACTTTTCTTATATTTACTAATTCATCTATTAGATACGCAGCCTAGCGATTTATATCAATAGCAGTCCTCAGCGTCGAGAGGCCTTCTATAATCTTCAAACAGAAGAGCCAAAACATGTTCCTATCCAGGATGTAAAGACTCGCTGGAATTCGACTTTTCTTATGCTCCGGCGCGCAAAGCGGCTACAGTCTACCTTTGATGAGTTCTGTGAGCATTACGGCCAAGAGCAATTTGCCCTTAGAGCAGAGGAATGGCGCCAGGTTAAATATCTGCTTTGGATCACACAACCATTCTTCAAATTCACATCCCTTCTCTCGCAGACGAAAGATGTGACAATTCATCTCGTCTTTAGCATCTACAACAAGCTCTTTAACCATCTAGAAAAGTCAATCCGGCAGCTTCATCGAAAGACAGTTCCTTGGAAGCAGCTAATGTTAGCTGCCCTTCATACGGCTAAGGGAAAGCTCTCCCAATACTACAGTATGACTGATCAGATCCCGGGCGACCTTTATACAATTGGCACAATCGTTACACCGCAGCAGAAGCTACAATTTTTCTCTACTAAGGACTGGGATAATGAATGGCGTACACGGTATCGCAACAGTCTTGAAAATTACTTCGAACCCTATCAACGGCGGCTTTTAAGCGCCCAGCCATCGGCTAAGGCTCAGACATCAGCTTTAGCTATCTTAGAGCTTGAAATGATTTGTGAACTAGAAGCGCCTCAACTATTAACAACTAGCCAACACAATGAGCTTTCGCAATATCTTGATAGCGGTATATAACATAACAACTGATTTATTACATTCGTAACTAACGTTTCTAATAGCAACGGTCCGTTCTGGTCCTCGCATCTTCTGGAAGGAGCACCAGCATGAATTTCCAGCGCTTGCAAGCCTTGCCCGCGACGTTCTCTCAATCCCCGCTACTGGTGCAGGTGTAGAGCGGCTGTTTAACTCTGCACGGGATATCTGCCATTATCGCCGAGGCTCCCTTAACCCTACGACTATCTAAGACCTGATGCTATTCATGTGCACATCCCGGTTCGATTTTGAGGATAAACAAAGGGCAATAATTAATGAGTATCTCTTATATAAAGAGATACAGGCAGCTAGTGAGGAAAGGGATACCGAGGCGAGCGGATTTGACCCAATTAGTGACGACGAGGAAGGAGGAGAGGAGGGTTCTATTCGGATACAGTTACCTAATCAAGCTCCTAGTGAGCGAAGCCAAGGTAAGCGGCGACTGAGTGTTAGATCTACACTAGAAGAGGGCAACAGAGATGACGATAAAGATATAAGAGATGTTCCACTACCTGACATACAGCAGCGTACGTCAGGTAGGGTCCGGAAACGATCAAGACTTCTTGATGGATATGAAACACCATGAGTAGTTCTGTAGCAGAATTTGATATAAAAACAGAGCTCTTTTATCTGATCTATATAACATCTATTGAATATTCTCTATAGTCTAAAGATGTAAGCGAAATACTCAAAAATACAGCTTAAATCTACATAAAATATACAGGCCACGAGTCCCTACTGTTTGTCACGTTTGACTACCCGCGGGTAACCCGCGGGTGACCCTCACGAGGGTCGGACCTAACCTGGACCCTCGCTACGGGTGAGAATGTCGGACCCTCGACCCTCAAAACGAGGGTCTGAGGGTGACCCTCGGAGGGTCACCCGCGGGTAAGGGCGAGGTCTAATCGCAACTGCATCCCTAGGGGACTCTTCCCCTAGGCTGCTTCGCAGCTTCTCCTGCAACGTTGGCAGTAGCGAGTTTTCCAAAAATTCCCCTTCCTTGGGTGCGTAGTCTGGTCGACGACTCGGCGCATCCGCAGGGTTATTCTTACCTAGGCGATGCTCAATCACAAAATCAAAGGCGGCTAGCTTCTCAGCCCACCTTGCCTGACGCCTGTTCAGCTCCTTCGTCGTCATGAAGTAGCGCAGGTTGGCATGGTCAGACAGCACTACGACGGGAAACTTGCTCCCCTCCAAATAGTGTCTCCAGTGCTTAAACGATTCAACAATCGCAAGCAGCTCCGAATCGTGCGTTTCGTAGCGAGTTTCCGCCCCTATCATTTTCCTCGAGAAATATACGATAGGGCGCCAGCGGCCTTCGTGGTCCTGCTGGCTCGCTATCCCTACGATTGCGAACCCCGAAGCATCGGGTTCGATCCTAATCGGTTTATCAGGGTCGAAGTGTGCGAGGACAGGCGCGCACGTAAAGCGCCGCTTTAGTTCCTCGAAGGCCTCTCTAGCCTCTAGTGTCAACTAGAATCCCTGGGTGCGCTTATTCAAGCCTTTCACCCCTCCAGTCTTCTTAGTTAGCGCGGATAGCGGCGCCGTAATGCGCGAATATCCTTCGATGAATTTCCGATAGAAATTCCCGAAACCCAGAAATGCCTGGATATCAAAGACAGACTTTGGTTCTAGCCATCCTAGGATATTCTGAATGCGCGCAGGTTCCATAGATACCCCCTCGGGTGATATCACGAACCCTAAGAAATTGACAGACTTCGTGTGAAATGCGCACTTCGACAGTTTAGCGTATAGCTTAAACGTACGGAGCCTCTCTAGCACCATTCTCACATGTCGAGTGTGCTCTTCCTCAGTTTGCGAATATATAAGAATATCATCGAGATAAACCACACAGCAAACGTCGAGCAAGTCACTCAGTGCGCGGTTAATGTACGACTGAAAGGTCGCAGGTGCGTTAGCCAGCCCAAATAGCATGACTGTATACTCAAAATGTCCGTAGCGGGTACGAAACGCTGTTTTCCACTCATCACCTTCGCGAATACGAATCCGGTGATAGGCGTCTTTTAGATCTAATTACGTATAGATCTTCGCACCTGCGAGACGGTCCATCGTCTCGCCTACCAAGGGTAACGGATACCGGTTCTTTATCGTTAACTCGTTCAAACCCCGGTAGTCTACACATAGTCGCAGCGAGCCATCCTTCTTCGGCACGAAGATAATAGGCGCTCCAGCTAGACTCTGAGAAGGCCTAATCCAGCCTCGCCGTAGACACTCGTCTATATACTCTCTCAGAACTGCGAGCTCTTTCGCAGACAGAGGGTAGATCGGCTTATGCGGGGGTTGCGCACCCTCTTTCATATCGATCGCATGATCATGATCCGCATTCTCAGGTAGTCTTTCTGCGTTCGCAGGATTAAACACATCCTCAAACTCCGCATACTGCATAGGGAGCGCTCCTCCACCCGTTACCGCAGCAAAGAACGGAATCGCCCTCTCCCCAGCGAGGAAGCGAGGATACACCGCTAGCGCATTTGCCCCAGAAAAAATATCTGTCATACAGGCGGCCGCAGTTATCCTTTCCGCACCCCGATACGAAGTGCGATAGCGCCAGGTGCGCGTTCGCCAGCAGATATCTAGATTAACATCTGTTAACCAGTCCATACCGATGATCATGTCGAACCCCGACATATCAACGGCCTCGCAGGTTAATTCGTGGTTTCGCACCACGCCTGCGCTATCACGCATCTCTAAATCTAGATCGTGCGCGCCGTACGACTGGACATCATATCCGTCCATCGCAATAACAAGTCGAGGGGGCGTAGCACTATCTTCGCAGTGCTGCTTAGCCCAGCGCTGATAGACAAAACTCCGCTGAGCTCCACTATCAATCAACGCCCTTGCGAGTTGAGTTCCCTCGCGGGTCGACACTTCGACCTCGCACTCAAAGGCCCATTCGCTTCGCCTCTCTATCTTTAAGCCTAATGCTGCGGCGAACCCATACATTAGCTTTAACCATTTTTTGTCTTAGGTGACTGATCTATAGGTGCACTTAGACAACTGTGTGCATAATACCCCTTTTTCTGGCAGTGGTGGCAAGTGATGTAGGGGTGCGAGGTCGCACTCGTGTCGAGGTGATCCTCCCTTTTCCGTTTAAAACCCCTGTTTCTTTCATCACTACCGCTATTAGAATTCTTTTCATGGTTCCGGCCCCTGCGAGCCATCCCCGCGGGCCGTGGTCCCGTGTTCGATTTCGCACGGGTGCCCGAATTATCGTTTGTAATTCGCGAACTAAGGTTGGCATCATTTTTGCTCTCAAACCTAGTCGCTTCATTTTTTGTTGCTCGCTTCCTTTCTAGGATCTGCGATTCAACAGTGCAAAGGTGCGCGATATAGCCGTCGTATGTTTCTGGCTGTTCCGGGTATTTCATGGCCTCGGATCGCACCTGTTCTTGCACCTTCGCCCATAGGTGTTCCTTGCGATGTACGTCTCCGTACGGGTGTCGTAGGCGTCGATAGATCCCATCTAGCTGCGTTGCAAATTCACGAACACTCTAGGTTGGTTTCTGATACGCTCGGTGATAATCTCGCACAGCATCGCGATAGATACTTTCGGGATCGTTAACGAAGCGTAGGCAGAAGTCCTAGAATTCTTCCCAGGTCGGCTGTCGGGTGAGCTTCTCAACGTGAGATTGCCACTCGTTATGTCTGTCGTCCGCGAGGTACTGCGAAGCTGCGAGCACCTTGTGCGGCGAATATACGAACCAGACAGGGTGCGTATCGAAGTAGTTACGCAGCCTATTCTGGAACGTGTCGTATTCCTGGGTCGAGCGACCGTGGAACGTTTTGATGCGAGTATCCTCACGAGGCGCGTGAAGTCTGGTAGCCTCAATACGCCGCAGTGCGAGGGTCTCCGGGTCGAGATCCTCGCTACGAGTCTCATCCTGCGAGGGGTTGTTTAACCCTTTGAGTTTCTGGATGATTTCTCGTTTCTTTTTCTCTGCTTCCTTCGCAGCGAGCTCCTTCTCGAGCTCTTCCAGGGTCAGATTTTCGTAATCAACCTCCATGTCCACCGTACTGTGAGCGGTACCTTCTTCGGAGGAAGTGTCGTGCCGCGCAGGTTCACTCTGCTGAGTCGGCACACCGATATCGATCGGGAAATCATCGTCTCCTTCGATGACTAGGCTCGGGTTCTGGCTTCGCGCCTGGAAACGGGTACGGTGAGGGTGCGACATGGTTGCGAAGGTCCTTCTATCGGGCAAATCCGAAGTGTTTTGAGCGATTAGAACTGTAAGACCCCGTTACGAGGGTCTTGGGACTTAGGTGGATTCGGGCAATAGAATGGAGAAAGCAGTAGACAGGTTCAATGCTGAACTAATCGCTGGAGTCCAAGACTCCAGCCTCTGAACTGTTTATATACAAATGTGGGGTCATGTGAGGTCATGAGCCCTCGCATTGTGGGTCTCAGCCCTGGGTCTAGTTCGCACCTGCGAATTGGCCATCTCGCAGTCTCACATAGACTGCGAGATATATATCGTCAGACCTGCTTAGTACTTGGGTCCTGACAAGAGGGCCGGGCGAGGGCAGGCAAGCATCCGCCCTCCGCCCGCGAGGGTCGGGCGGAGGGCCGGAGATGTCGGCCCTCTAAATGTTTTTAACGAGGTCTAGCTCTATAGATCTATTTCACAAGCTGAAGGTCTCTAATACGCGAAGCCTACGAATGAGCTTGATCTACTACTCGCTAGTAAGCCTCCTACACCAGTTTCTGAGCTCACTCAGTATCTAAAGGGTGGTAAGTGGTGTAAGAAGATTACCAGGTCAGGGGTGATTAGACCTTGACATTTCCCGCGGGACTCCCACCATGGGACTGTCCATGGGCCTCCCATGGGACTAAATTTTAACGCCATGGGAGTGGGTCCACGGGACTAGACCCCCTATGGGAATTCCCATGGGACTGTAAACAATGCAAACATTAGCTCTCTCGCGACTTCTTTGAATTATGCATTTCTTGGCTGTTTTTTATGGTATTTCATTTACACTGGCCTTTTTATAAATAATATGTGATCTCATGTTAACAGGTTACATTCAAATTTTACTATAATACTAATACAAAACAAAGTCTTCATCCTCTCGCCTAGGCCGTTTCTGGCCTCGATTTCTTATTGCCATCCTTGTCTGGGTATCACTTTCCACCGGCATTGGTGGTAGTTGGTTATCTTCATCATCCTCGATATCTAAAATCGATACCGTACTCTTCCGTCTCTTTCTAAGGGCGCGTTGGCTTGTGTTCTGAACAACTGGTTAGGGTTGCGTCTCGCTAGTTAGCTCTTCCTCGTCGTCACTAATCGTTTCTAGGTTTTCCTATAGAAGACCTGCCTCCCTATTCTCTTCCGTGGCCTGTTTTTCTTCGCGAGTATAGACTCGATCACCCGAACCAATCTCTTCTTGCTTAATCTCGAAGTTTGAGATACAGCGAAACATCATTAGATCTTGTATAGTAGAGGCATGAAGGGACCCACGTCGATAATGGCAGAGATCACGAGCGGAGTTAAATAGGCGCTCTACACCAGCGCCTGTCGCTGGAATTGAGAAAACATCCCTTGCTAGACAAGCTAGTGTTGGATATTTGCCTTGGTGAGCCCGCTAATACTGACAAGGATCAAGATCTTTCTGTCGTCCTATATAGAATGTTAATATAATAAACATTAAAGTAGAGAAGTAGTGTAGGGATCTATACCAATATTGAGATAATCACTAAGCTCACTTTTAAAGCTAGATCCCTAAGGCTCTGTTCGTAGAGGTCGATCCTTATAGAATAAAGCATTAAAATGACTCGCTGGTTGACTTGAATTGTCTGGTAGCGAAGGCACTGATAGAGACTGTTGCTGATATTTCACTAGATAACGCCGTAGTAACTCTTTATATTTATAGCGCCATTCATAGTTATTATCAGCCTAGTCTTTCTCCGAGAAGAATTCAAGCTTATGTTCTGGCGCAAGAATCGTCCTAATCGCGAATAGATGGCCATAAACTTGTTCTGTCTTATTATAGTAGATAGACAACTTCTCCTTTCCCGTATAAAGCGCGTGAAGTATTGCCTTTTTCTAAGCTACCCTCTTTCGTTAAAGCTGACGAATTGACTTCTCAAAATGCTCAAAAAGTACGTTATATACCTTAAAGACATTGTATATTGTGACATCTTTGATCTGCGATAGACCGTTTGTCCACTTGTAGAATGGCTAGGTGATCTAGAGAAGGTAATTAATCTGACGCCATTCTTCCGAATCTAGTTTGAACCTTAGCTGGTTATACTTAATACAGTATTGATCGAAGATCGATGTAAGACGCTTTGCTCGTCTTAACATAAGATATGTCGAGTTCTAGCGAGTTCGAACATCTTATATCGGAATAAGCTTCGGTTCTTCTGCTTAAAGGTTTAGGAAGGCATCACGGCGTTAAGGACTAGCATTAATAAAGATCGTAAGGCCACGAATCTATTTATGATATATTAGAGTATAATACTAGAAGTGATTTAGTTAGAAATTACCTTTAAAAGTGTGTATGAAATCCCTTACTGTTTTTGAATAGCACGGAGTGACTACTCTTAATCTTCTGACCACTGGCGGTCGGTTATGTCATTTTTGGGATCTACCCTTATAGAACCAAGGAGATCACGTAGGCTAAGTTGAATAATATGCGCGAGATAGGGAATACGAACGATTAGCGTTTGATCAGGCATTTCAAGAGAGTCGATCGATTGTTAAATACTTTTAACCATAGTACTGTTATTCGACGCATTATCAGTAGTAACTGCTAATACCCGATCAATAATACTATGTTTTTGGAGTAGCTTAAACACCGTAGCGCTAAGGTTAGTACCAGAGTGTGTTCCGTGAAGTGGCTCGAAGCCTAAAAGAACTTCACGAAACCTCTAGTCACAATCAACAAAATACCCCGTGATCGCCATAAAGGCCTATTGGAACGGTGAAGTCTAGTAATCAAGCGCAATTAAGAGCTTTGCACCTTCGGGTAGCGTTGAAAGAATCATTTCCTGTTCTTCCTTTACCATCGTCTGAAGCCGACGTCGTGTAGTCTTAGGTGAAAGTAATACTAGCTTTGAAGGGCAACGCTGGGCTTCTATAATCAGATCTTTAAAGTCCTGATACGCAAGGAACTGGAATGGAAGCGAAGACTTTGCAATTAATGTCACTTGCAAACGCTCCCATCGATTGTTATCAAAGACCTTTCTCAAAGTCGGGGTATATTGAGCCTATATTAGTTTAAGTAGGTATTAGTAAGTATTAAGTCTTAATTAGTAGAGAATAAATAGTTCATACCGCTGATTCTAGCGATTCTTGGATATTTTGTTGCCTTGGATTATTCTTCGAATTACGCTGGTGTCACGAAGAATTCAGGATCAATGATCCTGAACCGATTCTGCCGTGTTCCACCGCCTTTCGTAGTTCGTGTTTTACATTGTTTGATTGGAGGCCTCAGGCCTCAGGCATCACTACCTTAATTGTTTCAGCGTGTTGTTTCTTTCTTCTTCTTTCTTTCTTTCCCCATGTTTAGTATTCTAGTTGAATGCACTCTTTTTCATCAAGACTTGGCTCGTAACAGCTGGCATAGTCCTGCTGACATATGGCGCGTCATAGAATTGGTTCCATTTAAGGTTGACTGTGGATGTGGAAGTGTCTTTCCACACTTCCGACATAGAACCTTTGGCTCACCAGTAACAAAATGGGCGACTTGGTCAAAATTGTCCCAAACATCTAAGGTACGCTTCGCATCCTAACGGATCCTTTTCGTTGTCTCTTCCGCTTGTGTTTGTACCCACCATTGAATGAATTCGGCTTTATTCATCTCGGTTCGGATTACCCAGGTTTTCTGATTCGGAGGTCCACCACGTTCGAGGGTAATAGGAGCGGAATTAGGCGTAAGAAATTCAGACACTGGTAAAGAGGTCGTAGTTCGCTGGCTATCAAAGGTTTCGTATAAAAGCGATTGGTCGTCTGAGAAGATCGAGGTAAGATCAGGAGTATCGCATAAAAGCTAGGACGAAGGGCCAGCATTAGAAAACTAGCTCGGTTGAGACATATTGACTTAAACGAAAGGAATTAGAAGGAAAGAACTCACTCGGTAGAGATTATGTCTTGCGACCGTAGAAGACGCGATAGGGGTATAGTGTCAGATTGAGAGGGATGTTTAGATCTATCATAAAATAAGTAACAGCCCTATAGTAGAGAAGGATCTTATTGGTAGATTAGATGGGAATTCCTATTAGTCCCGTGGGAATTCCCATGGAACTCCCATTAGTCCCGCGGGAATTCCTATCTAGTCTGATTATTTGCTAACCATAACACCCCAGAGCTTAAAACCAAAGTTTTCAACTTTCAAATATTAAATCCCAAGCGTAACAGCCACATTACAATGTTTTAAACCGATATAAAGAAACAGAACAATTAAATAGAGAAGCAGCAGTTTAAAGAGATGATTCTTTGGCTGTAAATATATCGGAATTTAAAGTATAGTGAAGTTAAGGTATACTCTGAGTGAGATATATATTTCTACAATAGCTTCATTAGTCTACCTCTAACGAACCGTTAGTTTTAACCAAGTTTCTCTTCTACATGGTTTATAAATGGAATTAGTGGTAGGAAGTGATTTATCGTGTCTTTAATGAATTATTTTATTTATCATTCTCAAAACTAACGCTGAACATATTAAATCCATAAAACATAATCAAACAGCTATAAATAACGGTATTTAATCATGCTCACTCAGCAGTTTATCCATCTGATTTATGAAAATAATGTGCAGATGGGAATTTTTTTGACTCCCATAGGAGTCCCGTGGGAATTCCCATGGAGGGACCAAGGTGATTTTAAAGTCCCATGGGAGTGGATCTGGTGGGACTAGACCTCGATGGGAATTCCCATGGGACTAAGTCCCATGGGCATGGGACCAGATTTTTGCTAGTCCCATGGGAAATGTCAAGGTCTAGGGGTGATCAGCCTGTCAATCCGGTAAGATACGATGATGGATCGGTAATGAATAGGTGGAGGAGCGTCAACGATATAGTATTCTTGTACAGAGACTAATTCTTGTCCCCCAGATAGGGGCCAGGGAGTTATCCCCTTTTATGCCCCGTTTGGACGAAGCTCCCAGGGGCACATTATCTCTGTCGGTATCACTTATTGCGATTCTATCTTCGTTGGTGACACTACGTCCGAATCCTTTTCGTAGACGGAACATTCCCGTTACATGATCGGATCCATTACTCCTCGTCCTGCATAGCCTCGTTAAAACCAACCAGGCAAAACCCTGATGGGGAAAGGCCAAAGGTTGGAAAGAGTGCTTGGCAGTCTTAGTGATCTGTCTCCCATTGTATGGTCCTAAAGACCATTACAATTTATCCTCCCCTCCATGACCGTTGTCCTCAACGGTCTTTGTCGAGCAGGAAGCGATAGCGATTCGCCAAGTAGACAAAGAAGATAGCTCCTTTCTTGGGTTTCATGTTAAACCCCGTGTCCAAACTTAGCTCTTTCAGGTAGACTGGACGGCTTTGTTCTTCATGGTATTTGATCAGTAGCAGCCCGTCTGCTGTAGCAGTAAATTTCAGTTTCTTCCCAGATTCGTCCACGACATGCCACCGAAGAGGATTACCCGGGGAACAGCTTCTAAGGCCCGCAAGAGGAGAGCGGCGGACCGCGGTGATGGCGGTGATAGTGGGGATAGCGAAGGGAGTGATGGAGATGGAAATCGCCCCCTGAAATGGACTCTGTGAAGTTTCACTCAGAGAATCCAAACCGACTTGCCGTCTTTTCATAGGCGTTTTCTTTACTGTTTTGCTTAACAACACCTTTACTGACGCGTCTTCTTTTTCCCAGATCGCGCCCCCGTCGTCATGTCAACACCCTCGCCAAGTCCTGGCTCCAAGCGGACTCGCACTGAGTCGACTCCGAGTTGTGCTCGTGTCGCTGCTGAGCATCGCCGTCAGATGTCAATGCCCGTCGTCCATACCGAGACGCCTTGCAGTGCCTGTTTCCGCGTGAGCGTTGCGAACTGGTTTGCTGCTCATGAGTCGGCCGGTTTCCCGGTTCCGTTTGCTTTCTATTGCAAGCAGGACACTGATCAGTCTCGCAAGTGTGTGGGTTGCTTTGAGTCCAAAGGCAACTGTATTCAGGTATGTTCCGTTTGTTTTTCGGGTTCGACTCTTTACTGACTCCTTTTACAGCTTCCTGTCGGTCTTATAGGACATCGTTTTGAGCTGCTTGCCGTTCTTGCATGGCTCGCCGAGTTCTGTCGGATCCCTGGCATGGTACCTGAGGCTACTTCTGAGCTTGCTCTCAAGGTTCGCAACATTATGGGTGCTTTTTTCAAGTTGTTGGAGCAGCATCAGGTTGTTCACTAGATCTCCAATGCAGCCAAGCCAAATGTGAGTCGGGAAGGAGTCGCTTTTGTTCCTGGAGTTTTTCGCTGACGGTGATTTTGTTTTTCCAGGCCAATGAGATTGCCGACTATGCTTCCTGGTTGGCCAACCATCAGCCCGAATACCGTGTCCCCCTTGGCAATCCCGTCAAATGGCATTATCTGTGGGAGAGGTCGCGTGCTTGTCCCAAACTGCAGTACTCGGAGGAGAATGTGAACTTCTGGATGGCCTCCTTGGCCAACTTCCACAATAGTGTTTCCGCGGTGATGGCTGCGCTGTTCGACCCAACTTCGGCCGAGATTCGCAGAATCGAGCAGCACCTTGGCGATTTCCCTGTGCCACTTCCCCTCACTTTCTGAGGTTTTTTCCCGTTATTCTTCGAGAATTGCGGTGCAGTTTGAGTGGCTCTTTTGTGGTCCCTGGATGATTCGGGGAAGTTCCATCAATGTTTCGACCAGTTCCAAGTTTATTCTTAGCAGGTAGTGAATCAATTTCCTGCAGTTTTTTCTTTTCCTTGGTGTATTTCGCGATGAGTTTTGGCGCGTTCATAGATTCCTCCGGGACCCATTGATTATATTCGGATGGCCAGCCGGTCCACTTAACCAAGTAATGTAAGTCTCCGTCGAATCGCTGGTCATCCCTGATCTCTTCGACCTCCCATTCGTCATCTTCCTGTAGCTCCGGCATAGGCATTGATTGTTGTTCGTCAACGGAGCCATTCCATTTCCGTAGGAGCTGAACAGGGAATACATTATGCAGAAGGGCATACTTGTCGGGTAATGCAAGACGATACGCTTGTTTTCTGTTGGGGATGTCAGGTGACATCCCACATTGGGATAGTCTCCCATGGAGTAGATAGATAGATATCTCTCGCTCTCTCTCTCTCTCTCTCTCTCCTTCTCTCCTCCGTCCGCAATACAATATTCAATATCTTCATATTCCATTGCCCCTTGTATGATCTCCATGATTTTCCGACGCAGTTTAGAACTCGAAACGGCCCAATGAACTTAGGTGCCAATTTCTTACACTTGAACCGCAAGTTCGCGGTAGACAATGTAACAAGTTCTCCAACTTTAAATGACATGGGTTGGTGGCGCTGGTTATAATATTTTGCCTGCGACTCAGTCGCTTTTCGCCAATGTTCCTAGAGTTTTTCTCGTAACTCCTGGAGTTTTGCTTGTCTGTCTTTTGCGGCTGGGGCCTCGCGCTCGGCAACGCTGTTTGAGCGTACTTGGAAATTAGGGTCATACCCTAGAAGGGCTCGAAAGGGGCTCGTGCCTATTGTGGCATTTTCCGCATTGTTATAGGCAAATTCGGCCACCCGTAATAGTGATGGCCATCGTTCAAGGTTTTCGCCGATAAAACATCGTAAGTATGTTTCTAGGGTCTGGTTCATTCTTTCCGTTTGCCCATCGGTTTAGGCATGAAACGCCGTCGAAAACCTGTTCTTAATGCCTGACAGACAGCATAGTCTCGACCAAAACCTGCTGGTGAAGACTGATCCTCGGTCAGATACAATACCATCCGGTGGTCCATACCTTAGTTCAACTTCTGTGTGGAATACTTCTGCTAATTCAGATGCATCCATCGTGGTTGAAACTGGGGTGAAGAGGCACCATTTCGAAAAACGGTCCACGATGACCAGGATGGCGTCTGTGACTTGACCTTTCTAGATCGACGCCGGTAGGCCGGTAATAAAATCCATAGACAATTCGGTAAAGGGTCGGTATGGATACGGAAGCGGCTCGAGTTTCCCGTATGGTTTCTCGCGTGTGGTTTTGCTCCGTTGGCACACTTGGCATGACTTAACATATGCATCTATGTCCGCTGTCATATTGGTCTAATGATATTGGCGTTTGATAAGCTCCTTAGTACGGGCTCGCCTAAAGTGGCCTGATATAGGATCGTTATGATGCAGTTCCAGTATCTTCTCGCGCAATTCCCGCATCTAGGGTGCGTATGCTCGACCGCGGAATCGGAGTAACCCTGTCTCATCGACAGACCACACGCTACTTTCTCGATCCGGGTCCGAAACGCTCGCTTTCCGGCGTACGGACTCCTGGTCTTTCTCTTACAACTCACGAATCCATAAGAGCACATCCAATTCAGTTTCACTACTAATAGATTGGATCTTAGCGCTTTCAGCGCTATCAAAGTCGGTCTTAATGCCGAATTCTTCGCATAGATCCTGCCACTCAATCCATTCTAGAGAGTGATTTACATCGGCGTCCCGATGGGTACCGTGGTCATCGCCAATCGGTACATCTAGCCCTTCGACCCGATTAGGGCTCTCGGCTTCTTCACTAACCAATCGATCTCGAATCGTGGTCATTAACTCTGTCCCAGTTGACACTGCCTCAGAGTTAGGTATCCGCGACAACCCATCTGCGGGGTTGGTCTTTCCAGACCTGTGTTTAATAATGAAATTAAACGGCGCTAGATACATACACCATCGTGCCTATCGACCATTCAGCTTCTACTAGGACATAAAAGTCCGTAGGTTCGCGTGATCCGTCAGCACTTCGATAGGGTACCGGCTGCCATCCAAATAGTGGCGCTAGTGTTAAAAGGAGTAGACAATTGCAAATAATTCCTGGTCAGGGGTAGCATAATTCAACTCCGGGCCGGAGAATTTCCGGGACCAAAACGCGATAGGGTGATACAGACCTCCTACATCAGGCTGTGACAGAATTCCAGCCATACCTTTATTTAACGCATCTGTTTCTAATCGGATTGGATTTTTAGGGTTAAAATGTCTTAATAGACTCGCTGATAAAAAGGCCCCTTTTAGCCCTCGATACGCGGCCCTTTCGGTTTCGTTAAACTCGAAACTTCCAGGTTTCCGTCTATTTTTGCTGCCCTTCAGCATCGATGTGAGTGGCTGTGTGATTTGTGAATAGCCCTTAATGAAACGTCGATAGAAGTTACAGAATCCTAGGAATACCTATAGGTCGTGGTACGTGGTGGGTTCTTCCCAATCCTGAATTGCTTTCACTCGATTCTCGTCCATTCTAGTGCCTTCCCCATTCACGATAAACCCGAGGAACTCGAGCTTATCGCGGTAGAATATGCACTTAGACGGTTTAACATAGAGTTCAGCTTTCCTAAGGTATTCGAACACAGAGTGTAGTGCCTTTATGTGACTTTCTCGGTCAGGGGTAAAGACCAAGATGTCGTCTAGATACGCTATGCAAACGGTGTCAATTAGTCCCCTAAGTGCATTATGCATGTAACTTTGGAATGTTGCTAGGGCATTCGATAGTCCGAATGGTATGACCATATACTCGAAATGGCCGTAACGGGTCCTAAAGGCCGTTTTCCATTCATCTCCTTCCCGAATACGAATCCGGTAGTAAGCGTCCTTGACATCGACCTTACTAAAGAATCTTGATCCTGACAAGCGGTCTAGGATTTCCGAAATGAGGGGGAGAGGGTAGCGATTCTTGATTATTACTTTGTTGAGTCCTCGGTAATCCACGCATATGCGTAGGGTACCATCTTTCTTTGGGACAAAGAGGATTGGAGCACCTGCTGGGCTCTTAGAAGGTCGAATCCGTTTTCTCTTGATATTGTCGACTAAATAAGTCCACAGTTCTTTGAGCTCCTTCCTAGAGAGTGGGTAGATAGGGCCATATGGTGCTATGGTCCCTTCTTCTAGATCAATTGCATGATCCGTTGTCTTGTTTCGGGGCAAAGTTCCTGCCCGTTCGTGGTCGAATACGTCTCGATACGCCTCGAGTTCGGATGGAATGTCATGTTCTGAGATCTCTTGATCCTCGTCTTCATCGGGTAGCCACACGTGTTCTGGCATTTTAACTAGGGCATATATATATGCCTCATTCCTTGCTTTCTTGGCGAATTGATGGGGGTTGAGTAATTCGAATTTATTGGCTCCAAACCACCACTCCGAGGTTCTTGGACGAAGGATGATGTCGAGTTCATCTAGGGTGGTTCGGGAAAGAAGTATGGGACTTCCGGTGGGGTCTCGGTCGATCCTAATATAAGGTCGTTTGAAAGTTTTAGTGATTCCTCGGGAATCAGTGACAGTGAGGGGCACCCAATAAACCCCATGGGTTCTAAGACGTTCCATTGATACGCCTTCGAGAGATGGGCTCCGAAATGGAGCTTTAGCAAGCTTATGTTGATCAGCGAATGATCGGTTCACCACATCTACCTCTGCGCTAGTATCCAAATCTGCATGTGTTTCGATATCGCCGCAGCGAACTGGTACGTGCAGGCGCGTAACACTCCCGATTAAGGGGTGAGGAGTCGGAGTAGCGGGATCGTCTATTCGGACTCCTTTTCTTTTTTTGCTTTGTCGTTATTGGCGAATCTGCCAACCTTTGCTTTTTTCAGTTGTTGAATTAACGATGTAACGGTTTCGTCCTTTTCGGGACAATCAGTTGCGAAATGTCCCTTTTCTTGGCATCGGAAACAAGTGACGTTAGAGTTATCCTTCTTGTCTCTTTTACGTTTCGGGGACTTTTCGGGGTTGTCCCGTTGTGAATTGCGGGATCCTCCTCTATGGCCGCGGCCTCGGTTCCCACGTCCTCGACCTCGAGATTCTCTATTGCGTTTTTTGCCGCTGTCGTCGGTATCGTCAGATTTGGATTTCGGGTCTGAGTCAGTCCCGTCTCGTTTGCGCTTATTGTTCTTGGCGTCCCAATCCTTTTGATTCCTTTTAAAACGGCTCAGGTAGTACGTTTCAGCATCGCGGGAGATTTGTCGGCGAGTCGCCGGTACATCCCCGTTCCAATGTTCAATGAGGACGTTTTGCAGAGGGGCCCATAGCTTCATGAAAAGGTCTTGGGCACGTTGCTCTTCGGTCTTTTTTGGGAGATGTTTCTCTAGTGTTTCGAGATATCTCTCGAACTCGTGGGGGTGCTGCATAGCCCGTTGTTTTGCAGAATTGAATGACTTCAGTATCTCGCTTTTAAGATTGAAATGATTCTCGAGTAGGCCTTTAGTCCATTCCTTAAAATAGTCCCACTTCTTGGCTTCTTCGGGGTTGTTTCGTTGCTCAGTCCGCCAGATATCACGGAATTTTGCACAAAGAGAAGTGGTGCCAGCAATGATTCGTTGTTGATCCGAAACGAATTTCCTTGGTGCCCCTAAAAACTGGAGCTCAAGGTCATCGAGCCATGTGTCACGGTCTTGAATGGTAAAGTTTTCCTTAAAAGAGGAAACGTGAATCTTGTTACGAGCCAAGTCTTGATGAAAAAGAGTGCATTCAACTAGAATACTAAACATGGGGAAAGAAAGAAAGAAAGAAGAAGAAAGAAACAACACGCTGAAACAATTAAGGTAGTGATGCCTGAGGCCTCCAATCAAACAATGTAAAACACGAACTACGAAAGGCGGTGGAACACGGCAGAATCGGTTCAGGATCATTGATCCTGAATTCTTCGTGACAAATCTTGATTTCTCCTTTCTGTGTCGGTTCATCAATATCCGACGACGAGTCATCATGCATTCGCATTCGTTTCGTTTTATCATTAAGGCCGTTAAGTTCGTTTTGAATCTGCACAGCCCGTTGTCGGAGCGAGAGGATTTTCTCCATTCTTTCAACATTCTGCTCTTCTTGTACGACTTGCTGTGTAAGGGAATCTTCTCCTTCGTCGTCTCCGCTGATTTCTGTTACGATCTGGAGATCGGATGGGGGAGTGGTCATGTGATAGTTTTTGCACCCATATGGTGTATCTTCTCTCTTCCCTTTCTCTCTCCTTCTTCCTTCCCCATGTTTAGTATTCTAGTTGAATGCACTCTTTTTCATCAAGACTTGGCTCGTAACAAATTGATGTTTGTTTTTGTTATTGAATATGATGTCCAAAATTTTGATTTTTTGAAGTTCTGAGAAAGTGGCCGGAGTAACAGGGATCCACGTTAAGCATCACCTGACCCTTATATAAGCTAGATGACTCGCTCACCGAGCGTCACCTGAGCGCTCTGTTTTGCTCGCTGAGCAGCCTGATCTTACTTACTGAGCACGATCTGACAATTACATAAGCTCAAGAACTTGCCAATAGATACATTGAGCCTGGCAGAGAAACTACAGCTTCTGGTATTATACTTTAGCAAATTTCTGATGAACGAACTTTGATTCTAAATCTAGCAAAGGGCACACCTAACTGACCTCAAAGTCGTAAAACCCGCGCTAGGATTATTTTGGTGTTCTATCAAGCTATCAAGAAACCATGGTCTTCACCGCAGGAGGCTGCGCACCATATCCAACATACCCTTGGGTTAGTCTTTGGCGCACAAACTATAAATGATCTCAGCGGTTAGCTGGGTTCCGGCATGATGTCCTCCCTAAACTTACCTCGCCTGCTTTGAACGGCGCTTTACAGGCCGGTCGATCAACTGAGATGCAATTTTCCAAGACCGAGATCGTTACATCATGGTCCACGCCGAAGAGAAATGGGACGGTGTATCTTTCTTCCCCTGTCAGATTAATCACGCGATGGATGGTCGATTTAAATCGGTGGTTGGTCCTGGGATAGAGAAAATATTAATTTTCGATGCTCAGTGACAAGATCCGACACTATCTCCACAATGTTGCTTATTTACCAGATCGCCAAGCAGTCCGCTATATTCACCACCATTGTCCCGGGAATAGGCGGCGCAAGCACCCATTCTCCACTTTTGTTGAGGACTTGTAGCGCAGGTACATGACCTTGGGATAGAATAGTCAAGCACTCATAATCCTAGAGGCATTAACACGGTCGCATGAGCGTGCTGGCATGGCATACTATGACAAAAAGTGACTATGCCATGAGAAATGGGGACGGGCTTACTGTGTGAGCTGCGATCCCAGGCATTATCTCCCCGTTCACTGGCTTGGGCGGATAGTGCATCATCCTCGACATTGCTCCAGGGTATCCCATCTTGTCATCGAAGAAAGTTTCTTCCAAATCCAGTGCGAGCGCAAAGATCATCATAAGGTCTCGGGAGAGTTCTAGCGCTTTGGCATAGTATCGAAGATATGTTTCTCGAAAGCCTGGAAGCAGATCCTCACGAGGCCACTGGTTATCCCCATAGAGCTCATAAGTATCTGGGGGAAGAGAGTCATCAGCCGCCTTCTGTGAATCGCCTAAGATTTCGTAGCCAATATCGAATCCTTCGGAGAAGCCTGCCTGGGAGGATCGATCGGCAGGGTCATCCAGACCGTCGGCACCCGTATTCAGCTCAGCGAACATGGGGGTGAACCCGTGGAACTTCTGACCAATTCGCCCAATTCAGTTTTCTTTCCATATTTATATCACATCTTCTATGACTTGATATTTCCGGCGAAATAAATACCTTGGACTTCCCCATAAAGCATTCCATTTTCTGTTCATCTGGGAGGGAAAAGAATTGCTGAGCAGCCTCATGAACAGAATGGATGAGGTCTTCGGCGATGCCATGATTCTATATATAACAAGTGAGCTCAAGAACTTCAATCTGGCATGTAAAGCACGTAAAATTGAAGGATGTCACCTTGATATAGAAGAACCCGACCTGGGTACACGCCTCGTAGACAAGATGTGCAAGCTTCTGGCGTTGATCGAGATTGGTGCTCTTCAATGTAGAGAGATCAATGAGAGGAATGCTATCAAAATCCTTCGCTGGGAAAAGACCGGAAGCCATAGTTACTGCGACTTTCAAGCCTTAGCACTTTTTGTTAGGTGCTATCAATGAAATTTCGATGCCTTTGCGGAGAAGGACCAAGCTGAACAGATTAGCTAGGTTTGATTATTTGCTCGGGAGCTTGAACATATCTTATGGCTATGGTCTATAAGGCTGCCGGAAATCTCATCTGCTTGTGGTGAAATGGCATGCAAGGGATTCACTACTTTGGCCAGCCACTTCCATGGAACATTGCAGGGAATTTTTTTTGGATCCTCTGGGTACTGCGCTGTGACATGTCCCTACAGCCGGGGGAATTGTAAGAATTATTTTATCGTAAATGTAAATGGCCTTCTTGCTCTCTGATTTGCTGGGAGGATCTGGATATGTCTTTCCCAGCGTATGATTTAATGTAATGATGTAGCCTGTCAGCATGTCTGTAACCTGCGGATGCAGTCAGATATCGGGCTCAGCTGCCTGCAGATACCAGCCTTTGGAATCTCGAACATTGGCCTCTTTGAAGCATCCATCTTCCTGCTAATGGTCTTGTGCAGTGGAATAATCTTCCCAACCTATATGAATAAGGTTGATGAAACTAGTTACTTTCTTCCATATCGCACGTCTGGTTATACATTGAAGGCCGGTCTGTCTCTGTCAGCATACCTTCTGCTCAGTATATCGCCTCGATTTCAATTTTGCCTTCGATATCTTCACTCTCTTCGACCTCTTCATCATCCTGAAGGCGGTGGGGGGGGGGGGGGGGGTCTGGAAGGCACGGCTATATATTTCTTATAAAGAACCAGCACCCACTTAAGCGTAAAGCCCACACAAAAGCATGACAGTAATAAAATACCAAAATTACTCTAGGTGACTAATCAGTTTTATTCACGGTTTATCCCCAATTTTGGGTATTTTGGAAGGCCCATGGGTACCCGCCAAGAACCCACGGGCGGGTTCATGAAGGCCCAAACCCGCGTTGGGCTATCCGTGGGCGGGTAGAGTAATTGGAAACCCAACCCAAACCCGCGCTTGGCGAGGTCTATTCAGAAGTGATCTGTCTCACGTGACACGAGAGAACAGCCTTTCAATCCAGGTTGTTGGAGAGACATGCATTTCAACCCTAAGTGTAATATCTGGGTTAAAATACTCACCGCTATCATACATATTGATATTGGGGTATTTCAAAAGTTATATCATCGGCATAAGTCAATGTCAGACGCTCGGAAGGCCTATGGGGTAATCTTTCACGCCTCGTCGCTGTAGATTAATGTCGGTGAAGAATACGGATCATCTTCTCATGCTTGGTGATGTCATTATTTCCACATCCTGAGATCTAGGACGCTCGGAAGGTCTATGGTGTAATCTTTCACGCCTCGTCGCTGTAGATTAATGTCGGTGAAGAATACGGATCATCTTCTCATGCCTGGTGATGTCATTATTTCCACACCCTGAGATCTAGGACGCTCGGAAGGTCCATGGGGTAATCTTTCGTGCGTCAGGATGCGGGCCGCGTTAGTCGGGACTAGTTGAGCCTGCATACTTCGCTCTGCAGGTAAGTACTGGTGTGAAGAACTCGATACTCTCCGATTGGCGTAGATCAGGCTGCGGAAGCGAATCATGTCGTTTACGACGTAAGATAGACCTCATGAAGATCTTGCCAAATGCAGCTGTATATGATCACTAGAACCCGCCCACTAGTAAGTTAATTCCGCTTGGTGAGGGGTCAACTCTACGAAGACCTAGATCGTCTCTGCAGCATCAGTCTGCAGAAAAAGTACCTAGGTATGAGCCAATTCAATGATATCGTGTCTCGTTCTCTGGGCACAGGGCAGTTCTCACCCAGTCACAACATGAACTAGTTCCACGCTCAGCTACCCCACAGGGCATGCGAAAACAGCGTATACCTTGAGAGAGATGCAGAGATGAGGACTACACTGTAGGCCTTGAGACGTGCGGTCTTTCACCTATCATTTCACATTCGGAAATGTCATCGTGCAATACTCGGGAGAGCATCTCTACAAAGGAAAGGTCTGAGAATACTGGTGTCATTCTGGAGAAAATCATGACAAGCTGGTTTTTCTTACTTATAGCAGCGGCTAGTCACTAAAAGGTCTCTTGGCATCGTATTCTCTAGATCAAGCACACTGTACCTACACTCAGACCTAAACAAGCAGAATTACGTCCCCTCTACCGTCATGGCTGCAGTTTCTCGCCCATCTGTCCAGGCAGATGATGAATGGTCACCTCTCCAGTCCGTGATCGTAGGCCGGGCCGGGAACGCATGTTTCCCAAGTGCCCCTGCGGCGATGATTGAGGCGACCATGCCCTCTGAACACGTCCATCGCTTCAAGCCCCAATCGCCATTTGATAGGATGTTAATCGCCAAAGCTGAGGTAGAACTCGACTTCCTGGCAACAATACTGCAGTCCGAGGGCGTCCAGGTCTACCGACCGCCTATCGGGATCGACTGGCACGACGCTAATGGCTACACCGGCGCCATGCCCCGCGATGGGCTTATGAGCGTGAAAAACACTTTGATAGAAGCCTGTTTTGCCTGGCCATGCCGCGATCGCGAAATCGAAATCGCTTACGAACCCGTTCTCGTGGAGCTAGCTAAAGATAGCCGTGTGAAAATCGTGCGTCGCCCCCCATATGCCTTTGCCAATACCCTGCTCGACCCCGGGCATGCCTCCAGCCCCTCCCCTTGGGTGATCAACAACACTCGTCCTGCCTTTGACACGGCCGACTTTATGCGCTTTGGCACCACCATCCTAGGCCAGCTCAGCCACGTCACAAACCAGGCGGGCGTCGATTACATCCAGAGTCACCTGCCCGCGGGGTACCAGATTGAGCTAATCACTCCCAACGATCCTCACGCCATGCATATCGATGCCACTATTCTACCTCTACGCGACGGCCTTCTCGTCTACCACCCCGAGAAGGTCACCGAGGCTAGTCTGCGCAAACACGCGGTGCTCGCGAACTGGGACCTACGCCCCTATCCCTTTGTACCAGCGGCGCCTACCGACCCTCCGTTGTATATGACGAGCCCGTGGCTGTCCCTTAATGCGCTAGTGCTGGATGGAGAGCGTGTGGTGGTTGAGGCGAGTGACCACCAGACCTCTCAATTCTATCAGTCACTGGGGATGAAGTGCATTCCGTGTCCGTTCAAGCACGTGAATAGTATTGGGGGGTCATTCCATTGTGCGACAGTGGATTTGGTGAGAGTTAAGGATTATAAGTAGATATGCAGGAAGTAGCTAGCTGTCAGAACGAAAAACACATGTTTTTAACGACTCGGCCAAAACGATGCACACCTCCTTAGCTAAGCCAAGTACGGTGTATTTTTGCGTATTCTTGACCTGACACTAGCTAATACACAGTACCAATAAGGCTGAATGCAAAGAGGAATACGTCGCGGTTCGTAATTTTCCGGCGTTATTAGGAGTGATTTACTGTCGACGATCGATGAATCGGTAAGGTCTCGTACGTAGCAATGTATTATCACTAAACAGCTATTCTTTCTAAGTTCATCCTGTTAGAATGCTCTCTGGGCCTAGCTAATAAGAATGTGCGTGTTACGAGCCAAGTCTTGATGAAGAAGAGTGCATTCAACTAGAATACTAAACATGGGGAAAGAAAGAAAGAAGAAGAAAGAAACAACACGCTGAAACAATTAAGGTAGTGATGCCTGAGGCCTGAGGCCTCCAATCAAACAATGTAAAACACGAACTACGAAAGGCGGTGGAACACGGCAGAATCGGTTCAGGATCATTGATCCTGAATTCTTCGTGACAGTGCGATCAACTCTGTGTTTTATTACCCCTGGTTCTGGCAATTCATAACTAGGGATCTAATATGAGTAAGGAATTCGAAACAAATAGTGGATAACTATAAATTGCCAGAACCAGGGGTAATAAAACACCAGAGCATTCATACATTCTTATTGGCCAGGGCTGGATAGCAAGTGACAAAATATTAACACTCCGATGGAGTCATCAACGGGGATGCGGTGAGACAATTTGCAACGCTTTCCCACGTAGAGACCGAAGAAGGCACTGGTGGTTTAATTCGCGGGCTATCTGCATTATCGAGGATAAAATTTACTATCTCAAGTCCACCATCGATGGTATCTCAATGTGACCACGGAATGCATCAACCTTAACACTCAAGTCAAGATCGGACGGATTAGTCAGGCGACCAATGTATAATGTCGGTGAATTGCCCGCAAGTAACGTGGATCCTGGTCGTTCCGGCACCCCATCAAAACTTCATATTTTCTATACTTTTTAAACTCCAATTAAACAACCAAAACAACATTAAATCGACAATTTAAACCTTTTCGGGCATGTAGTAAACCTATGCCCTTCCCCATGCATAATGAACATGTAGTTTGCTGGCGTACAGGGGCCAAAACAGGAAGTGTAGGTTCAACCTGGGGTTCTGGAGCAGGTGTAGGGTTAGATATATATCTCACACTAAAACCTTCCTCACCACCCATATTGGCAGTAGGGTCCGGAAGCTCTGTTAAACTACCTATGTTAGGTATCTGCTTCTTTGATTTCTCCCTTTTTTTCATCTGTTTTCTATTTCCCTCCCGTAAACGCTTAATCTCATCCCGCATTAAGATGTGCTCGTGAACCAGCTTAACCGACATATTGTAGAACTGTTGAAGATCACGTTTTGTAGGCGAAGATATCTTATTAGCAGCTAAACTTAGACTAGAATTGAGCCTAGATTTGCGTTTCTCTAGCTGCTTAGTTGTCCAAGGGATGCCGGTAGAGATATTACTACCTGATGTTGAACCTTGTGAAACTGGTCGATCTGGTAGAGGCGGAGATTAAAGACGAATATTTAGCTTTAATAACACCCGATCAGGGTCTAATAGCACTAAAGCAGTAGCTGCGAAGGTATTCTAAATGATTAATTCCTTAAATGAGTTGTTACGAGCCGCTAGAAAGATATCAAGGAAGTCGTCTTTTTCGATAGAATCGATGCCTAACCGGGTATATTCCGCAACCCGCGTTCTATAAGAGCGCTTTAACACAGCAGAACAGCCAACATCAAGAGGCTGTAAAAGATGAGAGGCATACGGAGGTATACAGATTGGTATTATGTTGTTTTCCTGGCAAATCTTATCGAATGTCGCTGTAAGATGACTATCGAGGCCATCAAGGACCAAAAGACAATGTTTCCCTTTCATCTGACTTTCTATATAGGAGGTTTGGTGAGGAGAAGCAAAATTGAAGTGCCTGCCGGAACGACCAGGATACACGTTACTTGCTAGCAATTCACCGACAAATTCACCCGACATGTCGGATAGAAAAAAAAGCCTGTTTCGTGACCGCTAGGCCAAAAAGGTGCACACCTTGTTAGCTAAGCTAACTACGGTGTATTTGTGCGTATTCTTGCTTTGACAGTTCGGATAAATTGCACCCTGACTATTCGTCAGAATCCTACATGGTGACTCTAGATCCTTCTACGAGCCAGGGGCATCCCAAAGTAGTCACGGGCACAGAAACTGGCAAGGGGAACTTTTCACTGAAAGATGAGACAAGCGATAGACATTCTGGTACCGAGTAGTCTGGTGTTACTGATCGTATCAGTGGGACGACTGGATATTCTTTATATGAGGTCCCTACTCATGACTTCCAAATTTTGTCAAGAATGTTGGCAGAAACGACCAGTTCTCAAACAAGTTCGCAGTTCGGGCTACTTCGATACGACAATCAATCGGAAGATCATCGAACCAAGCCTTGATATAGACCTTACCTTTGAAAATCACACATGGAGGCAAGGCGCACCCCGAAGCACTTATGCACTCGATCGCTGTCACCCACTTACGGTTTCCGGGTTGTAAAAGTGAGCGCTTACCGTAAAGTTGAGCCCTAGTAATGACTCTTGCAGTAGCGATCAAGCCTATTGCGAATCCAGTCTCATCATAGTTATAGATATCGTCGGGGTCGATGCTGTATTGAACTATCGTTCGTTGCACGTAATCAAACCACGCATGGATGATTTTCGGGTCTTCGCACTTTGCGCTCTCGTAATTGTAGCACCTCGAGAATTGGGTTAAAAGTTCGGAATCCATTTTCACGAATTTATCAATCATTCTCGCCGACCGTTTGCACCGGGGTAGTTCCACGCTTCGCGAGTAAGAGATTCGCAATTTCTCGTACAGTAGCCGGCCCGGGGGGGGGGGGGGGTGGGGGGCTGCTCCACGAGAATCAAGAGAGAATACCCGTTGTAGAAGCGAGTCTTGTTCGATTTCCGTCAATTTATGGTTGTTTACGCGTGTTTCAGAGCGAAAAGGTATACCATGGAGGCGGCGGCGTAAAGTGGCCTCAGGTACGTTAAAACAGCGCGCTGCTTGGTGAATTAAAGGGGTTTCTTGTTTTTTGATGGCCTGAATAGCTAATAAGATCCTATTTTGCTGCTCTATTGAATTTCGAGAGCGTTGGGTGCAGATTCTCGGCAAAGTGTAAGAAGATTACCAGGTCAGGGGTGATCAGCCTGTCTGTCCGGTAAGATACGATGATGGATCGGTAATGAATAGGTGGAGGAGCGTCAACGATATAGTATTCTTGTACAGAGACTAATTCTTGTCCCCCAGATAGGGGCCAGGGAGTTATCCCCCTTTTATGCCCCGTTTAGACGAAGCTCCCAGGGGCACATTATCTCTGTCGGTATCACTTATTGCGATTCCATCTTCGTTGGTGACACTACGTCCGAATCCTTTTCGTAGACGGAACATTCCCGTTACATGATCGGATCCATTACTCCTCGTCCTGCATAGCCTCGTCAAAACCAACCAGGCAAAACCCTGATAGGAAAAGGCCAAAGGTTGGAAAGAGTGCTTGGCAGTCTTAGTGATCTGTCTCCCATTGTATGGTCCCAAAGACCATTACACAAAGTAGGTGGTTGAAGAATTAGAGTCCACTGAATTGACGCGTTTCGTGTTGGGCGCGTCACTCGTAGGTGCGCGTCACTCACTAGTCAATTGTTATGTGGGCCGGCCCATGGGCCCCTGGGATGGGCCGTCGCGGGGTATATCCACTCATGTTTATTGAGTCCATCTCGGCACTTGACATTTACAAGGTCATATTTTCTGCTTGATCTATTATGTTACGACCAGGCGCAATTATGACTAGCGGCAGGAATGTTATACTGATTTTCAAGACGAAGCTGAAGTGATGGTAGTGCTCGACGTGGGTATTCAACTTCAAGTCGACTGGGAGAAGTATTGGCTGAGCTGCACTTAAGGAGTCAAACCCACATCTAAATATGAGGGCCTGTAGAATTGACACCGTAAATGACCCCGTTCGACGCCAGAACGGCCTCCTTTCCACCCGTAACTTTGGACTTCTACTATCTTCGTCAATTTAGAGATTTTCGGTCAGGGGTATCGTGTTGAACCTTACCCCCCTTGTGTTTGCCAACAATCTCTTTGCGGACCCCCCCTCCGATTTTGGGCCGGAGTATGTTTGGGGATTAATTTGTCCCATAAGACAGGGTTTTAAAATCTCTCTAGGCGCAAGTGCCTACCAAATAATCAATTTGTTGATGGGAAGGAGAGTCGTGCCGGGAGAACTATAATCCAACCGCGGGGTCCTTTCTCCACCCACCCCCACACCGATCTTTCGCACGGACCTTACGCGTATCTCCATCACCCAGGAACAGGAACTGCAACATACGCTCGGGGGATTGGACACAGGGTCAAGTTTTTGTCTCCATCCTATTACCTCATCTCACTTGGAAAAACCATTTGAGCAGAGACACGTATGAAGCTGCTGACTGTTCAATGCCCGGCGTTCCATCAAGTCGAGCCTGTGCGGCGTGTCGTCAGCAAAAAAAGAAGTGTGATGAATTAAACCCAAAATGTTCGCGGTGTACTCGCCTACGTATTCCATGTGTCGATAATGGAGCCCGACGCTTCAAGTTTCAAGAGCTAAAAGTGACCTCCTCGAAGCCGAAAGAGCATCCTATCGAGAGGTCGGCCATTACTGCGGCCCCCCCCTACAGCCCACAAGGCCGATAACAGCCAGCCACGAGTCACAAACACTAAAGCTCAACGAGCCTACCACACCACAGGCAACAATGGATGCAATACCTGCAGGTAGGCCCCCTCGAACATTGCTTGTTGACCAGCTCTAACCAAGTCACCATCAACAGGACTCGGAAAGTACGTTGCGACGAGGTGAGGCCGGCATGCAAGCAGTGTTTCTCTACTGGTCGCAAGTGTGACGGCTATATCGCCACCCCAGCCTTTGAGCTCCTCAAGCCACAAAACCCTCCGGTTTCGGCCCTCCAGGTTGTGGCCAATCCTATCCCACCTCTTCCCGGAAAAAACCCCCAGGAACTGCGCAGCTTCCGTTTCTTCGTCGATGTGACAGCGCCTTCTCTAGGAGGCGTCTTTAATTCTACATTTTGGAAGACAGAAATTCCTAGAGCCTGCTACCTTGACGATGCCATCTGGCATGCTATTGTTAGCCTTGCGTCGGCTCACGAATCTTCTGTTTCCACTATATCTACTGGCACTTGTACAACGCCTGGCAATTTGCATACCCTTCTGCACTATAACCTAGCCGTCAAGGACCTGCTGAAGTCGTTTTCACCCGAGGGCTGGTGGCGGGTTCTTACCCTTAGCATTCTTTTCACGTCTATTTGCTGCTTGGAGAACAAGTACCCTGAAGCACAGATGCATTTCAAGTCTGGGTATAGGCTGATCTGCGAGATTGACACACCCGACCATAATTGCCCGCATGGATCTCTGCCCAACAAAAGAGCTCCAAGGTGGAACCGGCTGCGAGGCCAAGTACCCATACCAGTATCTGTTGCCTCACTTCGATCCATGGTCGAAGCCTTCGAACTGCAAAATTGCAAGCTCGAAGCTGCCAAACACTCGTACAGTTGAGCGATTTTGTCGCAATGAAGTTGCCGACCGCATTCTGCTTAGCGGTCTGATTGCGGTAACATTAGCTTGGATTTATACAGTTTGTCAGTATTATGGTGGATCTGCGTGTGGATTCTGGGTATATACCCAGAATATCTTAAAGGCAACCCTTACAGTTAGAAGCAGATCCTAAGTTAGCTGGCAAAAAATAAGCTCAACAGAAACGAAAGAAAATCAGGGGATTTGTCTTCCTGTGGAAGCGTTCGGTAGTTTGTCAATCAACAGCAAGGAATTTGTTCCTCGAGTACAGCAAAGTGAGCTATCGCAAAAAGACCAGGGCAAACTGTCTGATCGGAAATTCTCCTGGGATCACTTGTAAAGTATAGGGGGGTTCTAGTGTTTACAGGATAGGGCCTGTCAACTAGGTAAGACGAAGATGGCTCCGGAACAGATGTATTATATGAATAGTACAGAGACTGATTCTTGGGGAACTTCCAGGTTCCCAAGAATGGACTATTTATCATTGATAGGAGCGGGGTAGAGTGGCGGTCAGAGTACGCTCTGTGATCGACAGTGACACGCTGGCGATAACCCGTCTCTATGACAGGACTCTGAAGAGTCAGGATCCACTCCGTTACAATTATCTCCCCGTCCGCAATGGATGTCCACATCCATAGAACGTTTGCGAGTATCTTAAGCGTAGCCCATTAAAAACCCAAGGGGAAAAGGTAGCTAGCTAGTACCGCTCATGAAGGTTTTGCATAGTTACGGGGGGTCATGAATGACGCGCTGGAGAAACGCCAGCAAACTGAAAGTTGAATGTTTTTCCAGTTTGGGGGGAGAGGTGCCTGAGGTTGACGTAGTTTTGGGAAGCAAACAAAGAAGGATGGTGGTGCCTCAGGTGTGGTTTTGGGAACAAAGAAAGATGTGGGTGCCTTAGGTTGGGAGTCATCCCAATTTGGCAATTTTGACTTCTTTGACGTGAATATCAAGTCCACACGTGTTGTTGTTTACCTCTTTTCTTTCTTCATCCTCTTTATCCTCTTTACAGCGACGCACCTGCACGTTGCTGTCTTTTCCCCAGTGTTTCTCCAACTTCCCTATCTTGTTTATCCAGGTAAGTTGTTTACTTCTTCGGATCTGTCGATCACTTGTTGACTCTCCGGTGTTCCACCGTCATTTGTACAGCTTCTCCACGTTTGCTCGCTGTTGTGATGCCACCCCGAACTCCCTCCGAGCGCAAGGCTGCGCACCCTCCTCCGGAGGATTCCTCGTCCGAGGAGCCTGAGGTTTCTGAGAGTGAGTCTGAGGAGACTGACAATGATCCCGCCATCGGAACACCATCAGGAAGCCATGCATCCACTGTTGTTGATACTCCGACTCGCAATGCAACTGCTGCTCGGAGTACTGCGGCTCTCCGCAACCTGCGTCGTGCCTAGCGGGTTCCCCGTCCCCTTCGTCCGGAACCATACTTGCGTCATTCGGGATGGTGTATGCACTGCTTCCGCACCTTTGTGGACAATTGGGATCCTAGTGGACCACCAGTGATTCCCTGTCTTGACGATGGGATGTCGTCTAAGAAATGCAGGCAATACGCCAGTCGTGGTAAAAATTGCGAGCCTGTGAGTTACGTTCCTCTGCAGGCGACATGATAGCAGCTGACCGGCGTTTCACTGTAGGTCAACGAGGGTATTCTTGGCGATGCCCTGCGTCTGCAATGCATTCTTGACTAGGTGAAGCCCTTCTGGCAGGGTGGAACTGAGGACTTCCACGAGTTGGAGGATGCGGCCAAGGAGAAGTTGGGTCCCGCGGTTCGGGATTTGGTCGTTGGCTTCAAGGTTTTGCTCGACGGTCACCGCAAGCAATTCAAGATTGCAACTGACAAGAAGGTCGAAAAGGTAAGCGTTCCTCTGGTGTTTTGCTGGTGCCTTTCTGACGTGTTGGCAGGATGTTGCCGCAATTTATGAAGCTGTTGTCAACAACCGTCGCCGGATGTTGGCTCCTGTTTCCATGACCGCTGGCATGACGGCGCTTCGCCGTCTTTCTGCCGAGGCTTCGACTTATCCTGGCGCGCGTCTCTCCGATGACGGTTACCATGCTTGGGCCTTTGCCATCCGTACCTTCCGCGCTCGCATCGTCGCCATTGTTGAGGATCAGGATTCGTTCGACGATCTTGATGATTCTGAGTTTGCCACACTCAGAGCCGACGTTGTGCAGGATTTTCCCGTTGAGGACTACCTCGTTTGACTGTTGTTCCTCTGGCGCTTTGCTGTCTTCTCGAAGTTTGATTTTCTTTTCTTTTAGTTTTCCCAATTCGTGGGGATGGCTTCTTGCTGGGTTAAGCCAGTAGTTTCGCTGTGTTTCCACTGGTGTTTTGCGATCGTATCGATACTTTCTTTAGAATAGTTTTCAATCACTTTGACTTTTTTCTTTGCTTCTGGAACTTAGAGATCATTCCTCTTGCATTCTCCATATCTTGAGCAGGGACCCATTGGTTGTATTCAGAGGGCCAACCTTTCCATTTGACCAAGTAGTGAAGTTCATTTTGGAACTTCTTCTCGTCGCGAACCTCTTCGACTTCCCACTCATCGTCATCTTCCAACTCTGGCATCGGCAACGCTTCACTGTCGTTCCGCTGATGCCATTCTTCGAGTAAGGATACTGGGAAGACGTTGTGGATTCGTGCATATTGTTCGGGTAGTGCTAGCCTGTAAGCTTGTTGTCCGATTTTGTCGAGGATTCTGAAAGGTCCGATGAAATTGGGTGCGAGCTTCTTTGACGGGGATTTGAGTCGAAGGTTTCTAGTTGAGAGTGCAACTAATTGTCCCCTTCGAAACTATCTCGCCTCGTGGCGTTTATTATAGTACTTCGCCTGCGATTCGCTTGCTTTTTGCCATGTTTCATGTAGTTTTTGGCGAAGTTCATGAAGCTTCTCAAGACTATGTACTGTGGCTGGGACCTCTCCTTCTGGAGTGCCGTCCTCGGCACGTAGTTGAAAGTCTGGTTCGTAGGCGTATAGTGCTCGGAAAGGCGTCATTCCTATTATGGAGTTTATAGCATTGTTGGAAGCGAACTGTGCTGTTGGCAGGAGTGCGGGCCAATTTGTCTGTTCTGAATCAAGGAAGCATCGAAGGTAGCTTTCTAACACCTGGTTCATTCGTTCTGTTTGACCGTCGGTTTGCGGGTGGAACGCTGTCGAGAATCTGAGTTTGATATGACTCTATTAGTATAGTTTCGACCAAAACTTGCTAGTAAAGATCGATCCTCGATCCGATACTATGCTGTTTGGCGGTCCAAATCGGAGCTCAATTTCCCTATGAAATAGCTCGGCTAGCTGGACTGCATCAATCGTAGATGATACGGGTAGAAAGACCGCATATTTTGAAAACCGGTCCACGATGACTAGGACTGCATCCACAGTTTCGTCCTTATAGATTGTCTGTGGCAGATGGGTAATGAAATCCATTGATAAGTCGCTAAAGGGTCGCTGGGGTTTCGGTAGCGATTCTAGCTTGCCATATGGTCGATGTCTTGGTGTAGCAGCACCTTGGCATACTGCGCACGATTTAACGTATTCGGCCTAGGCTTCCGCAGGACCCAGCCCCAGACCCAGGCCGGGTCTGGGTCGAGGCAAGGTAACCCGGACCCGACCCAGGACCCAGGCTGGGTACCCATTGGGGCCCCAGGAAAACCCAACTTTGCATAAATTCAAGTTCTTGGCGTTCATAATCCTGCTAACTAATCAATATGTAATCTTGGTATCTTTTGCTGTTTGTTGAAAACCATCATGAATGGACTTATAAGATCGTAATATTACTTATTTTAAACAAAATAATAGCTTATATAGATTATTGATATATTCTTTTAAGTTAATAATGAGTTAGAATATATGAATCTTCTATCTATGGTGATGCTATAGTAATTGGGTGGTGTTATACCTTCAAAGTTATCAGAAATATATTTTGAATCTAGCATCTAATACGTGTCTCTCTTAACTACCTTGAATTTTCTAATTAACTAACCTTTAATCATCTAATAGAGAATATAGAGTGTAAAAAAAATATAGAACACATCATTTCATGATTTACCTCACATTCCAATCTGTCACGAAGAATTCAGGATCAATGATCCTGAACCGATTCTGCCGTGTTCCACCGCCTTTCGTAGTTCGTGTTTTACATTGTTTGATTGGATGCCTCAGGCATCACTAACTTAATTGTTTCAGCGTGTTGGTTCTTTCTTCTTCTTTCTTTCTTTCTTTCTTTCCCCATGTTTAGTATTCTAGTTGAATGCACTCTTTTTCATCAAGACTTGGCTCGTAACATAATACTAAACATCACCAAAACACTTTACTGAGCAGCACGACTGTACAAACCATCATTGTGATTGGTTTCAGCCCTGCTCAGCCCCACTTCCCGTTCCCTGGCATCGTAGAGCCAAGACCTCCGAACCGAACCGAAAGATCGACAGAACCGACCAATCAGCAGCAAGAATGGCTGATTCGAAGAAGAAGACTCCCCGCATGACTCGGAGCCAACAAATGAGACTCGCTGACAGCGATGATCAAGAAGAAACGACCACACACGATCCGACTTCGATTGAACTCCCTTCCTCCGACCTTTCGTCACCAATACGAGGACGAAGCCAAAGCACCGGTGCTAGTCTAGCTTATTCGCATCTAAACTCACCAGCGGTACGCGACACTCTCGCTCGGCAGGATGCACGACAGCGCTTCGAAACAATGGTCAAGAAGTACAAAGAGCTTGAAGTCAAATTCAACGAGCTAGAAATCAGGAAGAATGCTGTTAGTAAAGAACTTGAAGAAAGCGTCATGCTCCGAGAGCGAGCTGATGAAGAACGTGAGGAAGCGATTGCTCACCTGATGATCGTAAAGGAAAAAGAAAAGACGGCAGTGGATGCTAGAAATGAGATGGCATACCAGCTACTACAATCAGGAAACCACCAGCGTAGCGCATCGATTGTAGAGGCTATAGCTATAATCCCTCGTGTTCAGAAAACGACCAAGATGCCTGATGCTCTTATGCTAAGTGATGGCAAGGAAGTTCGCTTCGAAACCTGGTAAATAGTGATCCGACAGAAGCTGCTTGCTAATATAGATCATTACCCCGATCCGATCCACCGAATGATATATATCCAAAGCCGTTGCGAAGGAAAGGCATAGCTACACATCGCACCAAGAATGGATCCTGAATCGGCCACTCACTACACCGATGTAGAAGATATTCTCATACACCTGAAAACAGTGTTTGCTAACCTAAATAGGAAGGCCGAGGCATATACTCAGTTCCATAAATTGAAATTGAAACCAAAGGAGAACTTTACCGATTTTCTGGCTAGCTTTATGCAGCTTGCCGAAGAAGCATGTATTCTAATCGAAAACCGTAAGCAAGATCTTTATCTTATGCTTCCATACTTGCTACAAACCCAGGTGATGCTCTAGAAGAATCAGAACACAGTATCTTTCGATGAATTCGTCTAGATCTATATCAGTCTGTCCCACGATATCAACGTTTAGCAAGAATCACGATCTAGTAACCGAGCACGAATTTCCAGTTCCGGAAACAATATCACTTCCTCGTCGATAGGTTCAACCTCTACGACTCGAATCAAGAAAGAAAACTCAGGATTCACCCCGTTGCCATTTACTGAAAGATAAACACTGATAAGAGAAGGACGTTGTTTTAACTGTAAGGAGCAAGGCTATATGACCCGTGATTATCCTAAGAAGACAGGTCTAGCAACCACTACAGCAATTACTCAAGTTCCTGCTCGCAACCCCTCTCCTCGTATCGAACTAGAAGAATTTGAAAATCAGGATTCGGGAAAAGCACCTGCCTAGGCGAAGTCTCCCTCCTAGGCGGAAAAAAGGTGTCACTTTATTCGTTGAATTTACAGAAGTTACTTAGAGGTCCATATGATAGTTTAGTGTTTAACATAGAGCTCATGATCAATGGACGTTCCTTTTCTATTTCAGCACTATGTGATACCGGAGCAGATGGTTCAATTTTTATCGACACAGCTTTAGTAGCTTTACTATGCTAAAAGCAAGGTCTACGAGTTCAGAGGTTAGAAAGGCAGTGCCTAGTAAATGGATTTGATGGCAAGCCAGCTAGACCTATCACTTATACAGTTATTCTTTTAATGTGTATTAAAGGGCATGTCTACTAGCAGGTACCTATACTGGTAGCAGATCTTAGAAAACACGACTTGATACTTAGACGAGTATAGCTAGCGCAATATGACGTTTTACTCGACTGTCGCCGTCGTCGAATGATTTGGCCATATAAACTAACCTTGTTTGAAGAAGTATGTAACCAGGTTTCCCTTCCCACCCCGATCACGATACTTAAGAAGCCTATTCTAACAAGCACCGCCAGTACGCATCAAGTAGATGCAGACCGACGAGACAAGCTACTTAAACAAAGTATTGACCTTTTACCACGGAAGCATCAAGATCACTAATGGCAGAGAGCAAACCTCGAGAAAATACAGAGAAATCTAAGGAATAACGACCTATTACTGCTAAATATATCTGAGTTCAACTGTCCACTAAATATCAGTATCATCGGTCCTACAGCATATTAGAGACTATAGGCAAGATCACTTTCTGATAAACGCACTAAAGTATTTTCCACTTCGCTTGCCGAAATCGATCACATCCTCGATATCAAATCATTATTAGTATCATCAGATCTAGAGATAGATGAGATCCGAGCGACACTGCCGACAGAGTATCAGGACCTAGTAGAAGTTTTCTTAAAAAGAAAGTTAGATAAACTACCTCCGCACCGAAAGGGTGTTGATCATGATATCATACTTAAAGCGGAGGCATAGCCAGGGTACTGTCCATTATATAAGCTTTCACTTAACGAATTGCAAGAAGCAAAGAAATACATTATGGCAAATCTCGACAAAGGATTCATTATGCCAAGTTCAGCACCATTTACATCACCAATCTTAATGGTTAAGAAACCCGGTAGTAGACTACGCTTCTATATGGACTACCGGAAATTAAACTCACTTATAAAGAAAGACTGTTACCCGCTCCCATTGATTGACGAGGTGTTATAACGGACAAGCAAGGCGAAATTCTTCACTAAACTGGACATCCAGCAAGGCTTCCACCGGATTCGTCTAACACCTAAAGCCGAGGATCTTACCACTTTCCGAACTCGATATGGATCCTTCAAATACAGAGTGGTCCCCTTTAGATTGACCAACGGACC